TCAACAAACCATATTAACAGTTAAAGAACAATGAGCCTGGGAAATCCCTACTTTTACAGTTAAGAAGTTAGCAAGCTCTTTAACTGGAGGTAGATGTTACCTCATCCTTCAGTGCTACTTACTGTAAACACAATCCTGAAAAACAGCAGGAGGAAAGAGCAGTCAGGGCTTTGTATTCTTGGCATACAGAGCAAGAATGTATAGGTATCCTCAGGGCTCTGGAAGACTGCATCTTCCAATAATGACTCTACGTAACTTTTGAGGGTAGGCTAAAAGATGCAATCTAGCTTTCTCCTGGCTCTCTGCTGAGACACTCTCCTTTGGAACCCAGCCTCCAAGTGTAAGAAAACCCACATGTTCCAGACAACAGGCCGGCTGAGAGCCCATCTAACAGTCTGCATCAAGTAGCAGTCACCTGAGTGAAGAAGCTTAGAAATGACTCCTGATTCAGCACTGTGTAACTGCAATGCACAAGACACCCTCAGTGCAACCACCTACATGAGCCTGGTTAACAGCCAGAACTGCGAGAGAGAATTTTTGTTGTTTCATGCCATACGGTTTGAGTGGTTTATTATGCAGCAACAGATAACAGTATATATTCTGACCATATTCCAACTCTCCAGCATCATCAATTCCATAATCATGACAAATTAACTCCCTGAGAAATTCTCCTATCCAGTTTTTCCTCATGGTAGACCCTTAGATAGATATGCTTATTCCTGACTTCATGCCTTTGTTTATGCTCTTCCCTCCATACAATTTCACCTCAGTACCTGTATCTCTTCCTTTAGCCTTTTATAGTTCACATTGATCTCTAATTACTAACTTCACAAACTGTCTATAGTATTTCTGTGATATCCACTGTCTAACTGTACCTAATGTATTTTGTGCCTACTATGCTACTGCTGAAAATGTAGTTGTGAACATGACAGGTATGATCCCAGTCTGCATGGACATTACAGTTTAAGAGAAGAAACAGACATTAAAATAATTGATTTCAGTTATGATAAGGAAAATAACATACTTCCAAAACAAATTACAAGAATATCTTACCTAGTTGTGAAGGATACTTATTTATTAAGGAAAGACTTAGTCCAAGGAAGTGACAATCAAGTTTAAACTTCAAAGGTGAATAGAAATCAATTTGACTAATGCAGAGGCAAGAAGAAGGGCAAAGACTAAGGACCAAAAAAAACAGCTTATGCTGGGTAGATTTTGGTAAATTAAAATGATGTGAAAGGTTCACATGAATACAATGTAATTAAAGGAGATAAACAGCTGTAAAATATGAAATGAGACAGGCATGAAAATCTTATACTAAGGCCCAATCAAAGATTTTAGAACTGTAAGATGCTATTAGAAGTTCTAACATGAGAGTGTGACAAACTCATATTTTCATTTTTAAAAGACTTTTGCTGCATAATATTGAGTGAACCTCCAAAAAGGACAGAACACATGTGGAGGAAGAGTCTAATCAAGTTACTGCAATTTTGGTGCAAGACTGGTGGATGGAATGGACAGGAGAAATTAGGACAAGTGGTCAAATCTGAGATGAGTGAAGAATTGAAAGGGCTTAGTGAGGAACAGGAGGTAAGGGAGGTGACAGAAAGCAAAACTGACTCTTAGGTTCCTGTCTCAAAAGAGCAACTAAATGGATGGTGGTAGCATGCACAGACTAAATATACACTTGCTTCTGACTGTAAACTCTCTTAATTCCTTTTTTCCTAACTATTTGGTATATAAAATAGTATTACACAGAAGCCTCTAGTAAGAAAGAAGAACATTTATAATCATAATTGTCAAAAACATAATTACTAGTGGTAAGAAAACTCTGGAATATAAAAAAGAAAAAAGAATTAAAGTATAAAACTATCAATATAGAGCAGAGGTGTCAAACGCATTTTCACTGGAGGCCACATCAGGCTCGTGACTGCCTTCAGAGGACTAAAGTAATTTTAGGGCTGTATAAATGTAATTACTCCTTAACTGTTAAGGAGTTGAAATTACATTCGGCCCTTTGAAGGCAACCGTGAGGCTGATGTGGCCCCTGTTGAAAATTAGTTTGACACCCCTAATATAGAGTATCTAAAATTTCAAAATACTGAAAAGCAAAAGAGACAACTGAGTACAGAACAGGAGACAGGAGTTGACAGAAACTGACATTTTAAAGAGGTAATGTAAGAAGAGAACATTGAGGATCTAAGAGCAAGTGTACATGATCTTATACAATAGACCTTACACTAAATCAGGGCTGGGATCAATCAGGTTCCTTTCAGAGATATCTGTGTAGATTAATAACAATGGCCACTGCTTTCTCCCATCTGAAGTGTCTTTATCAAAATCCTTTTCATTTGCCCTGACCACTGTGGCTTGGTTGGGTGTCATCCTGCAAAGCGAAAGGTCACTGATTGGATTCCTGGTCAGGACACAGGCCTAGATTGCGGGTCCAGTCCCCAGTTAGGGGCGTGTGCCACCCCAAGAGGCAACAGGTGGATTTTTCTCTCATATCCATGTTTCTTTCTTGCATCAATGTACCTTGCCCTCTTTTTATCCCCCTTCACCTCTCTCTAAAATAAATAAGTAAAAACTTAAAAAAAAAACTTTTCATTTTACAATAAAATTACAAACATTTACAGCTGAGTTCTACAATCCTTGCAAATTAGAAAATTAGATCACTATTGGATGACTAATACTGATGGAAGGTAGGTAATAAGAGAACAAACACTACATCTCGAAGGAGGGTAGTCAGACTCAAAAAATTTTGGACAGTTTGGCTCTTATGTATACAATTTAATACAAGTAAATCCCACATTACCAGAATTTCAAATAATAATGATCTCTGAGTAAGTCAGCCCAGAGTCTGGGCAAAGTAAAGTTTTATTTCTGAGAATGAAGAGTGGCACAAAGTGAGATTATAAAATGACTGCAGTCAGGACTTTTCTAGTTCACTGGGCCCATTATTTAAGGCACAAATGTCACTATGCTTTCCTTTGTGCCTCAATCACTAGACAGCATGGAATTGTCTTGGACCCAATTGTGTATTTCAGTGACTTTGCAATAATTCAATTTCACACTTTTTGGAATTGTCTTGGACCCAATTATGGCACAATAGCAAGGATTTTATGTTAAGTGTAGAATTCTAATAGATAAGACAGTATTTGTCACATTTTAACAAATGTTGATCCACTGCCAACCAGGAGACTTTCTTTACCTTCTGGTTTTGTGGACAAACCGTATGAAGAAGAGCAGTGTTCTCTTATCCACACTTTTTCTCCTCCAATTTTAAAAAATATTTATTCTTCTATTGTTATTTCCTATTACTATTTATCCCCCGTATACCTTCTTCCACCTCCACCCCAACTCCCCTTATTTTTTTCCTTTTTAAAAAAATTTGGTCTTGCCCTGGCTGGGTAGCTCAGTTGGTTAGAGCACTGTCCTGATATGCCAAGGGTGTGGGTTTGATCCCTGGTCAGAGCATAAACAAGAGTCAACCAGTGAATGCATAAATAAGTAGAAAAACAAAATTGATGTTTCTCTCTCAGGAAGGATGGGGCACTAGAAGGATGGGTGTTAAAAACAAAGTTCTTTTTGGAAAAACAGAGAGGCAATATTTGGTAAGTAAAAAATTAGATACAAAAGCTCTAATAATACTATATATAATTATTTGAAAAGGAAAGCAGCAGCTGGTGCAGAGAAAACCAGAAGTCTTATCCCAAGTCCCATAAGGAGATGTCTTATGAAGTAGTGACTACGGTGGAGGCAGAGATAGGGCATGAAGGCTCACATGGCTAAGAATGCCATGGGGTTATATTTTCAGAGACACAGGCTGATGAGTGTATCCCCTGGAAAATGCAAAAAGCGATGTTTAACATTCATCAACACTCACAAACGTGGAGTAGAACAAAATGAAGACAAAGACACTTCCAAGAGGGATGACATCTTCTACTACACAAAAATAAAATCAGGAAATTTGTCGCTATAAGTCAATACAGCAACAAATAAAGACAACATGATTATAGTAATAGATGCCAAATTTGATAAAATTCGGCAAATGTTACTAATATTTTTGAAAAAAATGGAAATAGAAAACTAAAAAATAACAATACAGTATCTTTTAATGATTATATGCCTTTTTACCTCATTATCTTATATATTCCCATTATAACCCCAGGAAGTAATCTCATTTAACAACAACAACAAAAAAGACGGTCCATAGACGTTTAAGTAGCTCATCCAAGCTCACCACCAGAGGTACAAAGCGGCAGAGCCAGCATTGGAGGATAGAGAGAGGGGGACTCCAACGCGTGTTTCCGTCTTCCACTACCTGTGTAGGCTCTAACCCGCTTGACTCCGGGCGCGAAGACAAGAGCATACACGCAGAGCCGTGGACACCAGTGTCATCCGTTCCATGACAATACTGGGGCGATTCTGATGATGGGGCGCCTCGTTCATTCACCGAATATATTAAAAGCGCCTACCCGCCTGCCAAGGACAAGCAAATAGCAGTGACCAAACACTGACGGCCACTGTCCGCACGGGGCTTACAGTCTTGAGGCCTGTACAGTCTTGCTCCCCGCCCTGGACTAAGCGGAATGGGCGCCTCGCACCGGAAGTCCACTCCAGTGGGACGCGAAAGAGGCTGGGGGAGCGGGCGCGGCGCGCGCGGCTGGAGCGCGACGGAAGGACTCGAGGGCTGGCACGAGAAAGGGGTGTAGCGCGCGCGGAGGGAGCGCGGGCAGTGTGCCGGCGGGTGGGTGGCGCGCAGGAGCCGGCGCGGTGGGACCGGAACGCCTGGCGCGCGACAAACTACTCAGGAGCGAAGAGACAATTCTCCAAAAACGGGGCCATCAGCCCTCCGGCCCTGGCAGGGCTGTCGGGATGATCTAAAGATGCAGTACGGGGCAGGAAGTGCATCTGAAGTCCTCCTGGGCTCACCCCCGCCTCAGGTCCTCGGCTTTGGGAAGCGGAATCAAGGTCAAGGAGCCGCAACGGGCACTCACCGTCCATGGTCTCCCTCACCGCATTCAGATTCGCTGTCGCAGCCCCCGCCGATGCCCCAGCGCCGCTACTCGCCATGGTTCAGGCCAACGGAGGCGGGAGGAGGGTCTGACCCGGAACTGGAGCGCTTTCCTTTCTCCGAGGCAATCGTACCGCGCGTCCCGGCTCACGCTGGGCAGGCTCCGCCCCTCGCGCTTGTCGCCTGCCGGAGGCTAGGTTGATTTTGAATTTGGAGCGTTGTAACTCAGCGCGGAATGTGAAGCGTGGAGTTGCCCTTCGAATGTGCTACGCCGCCTCGATGCGATTGGCTGGTTCGCGGACAGCGGTCCGACACGATTGGCCAATGGCCCGCAAGCCCGAGCCCTTGTTGGCCTAGGACAGCGCGGAAGCGGGGAGTTAAAGAGTCTGTGCCTGTTGTGGGAGCAGGCTTGGCCCCTTCGGAACGCTGGAGTGGCCTTTGGGGAACTTCTTTTTTATACACACCATTAGGTACGTTCTTTAGGGTTCCTGGCTCTTCCCCTGTCTCGAATTGGAGAGGTCACTTTTCCTGGCTTCGGACCCGCGTGTCCGCCAGCCCCACGTTGAATGGGAGCACCGAGAGAGTATGCAGGAGTAGGTATCGAAGGGAGGGACACCAAGAAAGAGTAACAGCATGGGTTGGAGGTGACACCGGCGTGAGTATCCTTCTGTGCTTTTCACCCAAGGAAGCCAGCTGCACTTCACCCGTCCAAGAAATGGAGACTCTTTTTCTCTAATTGTAGCCCTTTTCTACTGAAAGTAATGTAGCCTCGCTTTCTACCCTGAGGTTCTCAACGAAAGGAGGGTATTTGACTGAAGGCAGTTAATTTCCTATCCCTAATCAGTCATACTTCCTTGGTGGCAGCTAATTTGCCAGAAAGACACGCGTGCACAAGGTTTCTGGTCTCTTGCCGCTAATAATTGTTTAGTAAGTGCAGCTCGATAAGGGAATTGCTGGGATGTTAGAAGGATGTCAAAGTGTTGAGAGACTTGATATAATGAACTAAAAGCTAGAGGTCCTCTAGTTGGAAGGGATTTTCTGTCTATTTTAACATTTAGTTACCTCGAAAGCAGACCTGAACTCATTCACTTTGGTTAACTGGTACTTAAAAGACACTTAAGTTCTCTGAGCTTGTTAATTCTACAAAATGATGTTACTAATACCCTTCTTTAATTTTCAAGGTTATTTGGAGGATCATTTGAGAAAATATGTGATTTCTTTTGTAAGCTATGTAGAAAACCTCCAACAGCGTTAGGTTTTGAGCTAATTTTTGTAATGATTGTTGAATTCATTTTAATTGTCCAAATGAATGTCAGTGGAACTTAGTAGTTTCATTATATGTACTTCTGATTTCTCTTTAGTTTTTTTCTCTGTGCTATGGGAGAAGTCAAAGAACCAAAAATGCAAATAACACCGGAAACTCCAGGAAGGATCCCTGTTTTAAATCCTTTTGAAAGTCCTGGTGATTATTCTAATCTCCATGAACAAACTGTCTCCAGTCCTGTTTTTAAATCAACAAAATTACCAGTAAGTTACTTTTAACTAGTGTTTACAAATAACTTTAAATATAAATATCTACAAGGTAAGGGGTTACCATGGAGCTTATATTACTTAAAATGTGCTTTTTTAATTTGTAATGTTCATTATAATCTAGTGGTTGGGCTAAAAATAAGTTAGTATTCCTCTTTTTCTTTAATAAATAACATGTTAGCTTCCTACAATTGTGCTGTCTATAGCTGATGCTGTATCTACCAATACCGTATTAGAGAAGAAGCTATGTCATCTAATTATTCTCATTTATTCAGCAAACATTATTTGAAGGCTGCTATGTATCAGATACAGTGCTAGGCTAAGAGGTTACACTGTGAACAAGTCAGGTCAGGCCATTAGACACAGACTCTAAAGGAATTTATATTCTAATGCAGGAGTCAGCAAACTGTTTTCTGTCAAGAATCAGTCAGTAAATATTTAAGGCTTTGCTGTTAAAACTACTCACCTGTGCTTGTATTACAAAAGGGGCCATAGGTAATATGTAAACGTATAAACATGAATGTGTTCCAATGAAGCTTTATTTATGGGCACTGAAACTTGAACTCCATGTAATTTTCATGAAATGCTAATATTCTTTTGGGTTTTTCTCAACCATTCATAACTTGTGGATTGCATAATGGGATAGACAGGACTAAATTAGCAAGTTCAAAAGAATATGATATGCACTATGACTAGTGGTTAAGCACAAGGATGCTGTGGAAAAAAAAGTGCTCTTCTGGAGTTGAGGGAAGGCTTATTTTTACTGTTATTGGCTACACTGGAGAATTTCTTTTGAAGTCTAATCTTTAAATCTAGTAAATTGTCTAGAAAACTACAATTTGAGCAGCTGTTTACGCATTTATGGTGCACGTGCATATCAGCCTGAAGCAGGTATGCGCTAGAGGAAACTTTTAGCTATACAGTTTATATTAAGTCATTAATCTGACTCCATTTTTAATTGAATCATATTAAATCTTATTTATGTATTAGTCTTAATTAAAAAATGGAATGATTGCAGCTTAATCTTTAAAGCCAAATGTATGGCATCTTTGGCTTTTAAGTCTGAATTTGTCAAAAGTATATTCTGACTTACAGTTTAGGATTTGGATAAGAGTTTTTTTTAGTTAGATAGTTGAAAGAAAGGGGGTACTAGTTACCAATTATTGTTACTTTAAGGATCAACTATTTTATGAGCTTTTGCAGGCACTTTTGTAGTTAGGATTTTAATTTTTAGTTCATTCTTATGGAAAGTAAATACTTTTGGTAACTAAGAGTTTTACTTTTACATGGGGCATCACTAGTGAGTATTAATTGTAGAATTTCTATACCATTAATATTCTACTGTGATTTACCTATTATTATATAATTTTAAAAATCACCCAGACACAAGATTGAATATTTTAAAAGAGATACATACAATCAATCAAGTCAATTAATTTAGTTTGCTTGACTACCACTTGCCATTTAATTTTGTGGCAAAATCAAATTTAAAAATATGAGGTATAGGATATTTTAGTGTTATAAACTCACATTATTTTTGAAGTTGACAATGGTTAGCATTTTGATGAACTATTTCAGTTTGCTTTTACTCATAAGCTCACTTTCTCCTATCAAGACCCCCGGAAAATTTAGGTGGTCTATTGATCAACTAGCTGTAATAAATCCTGTAGAAATAGACCCAGAAGACATTCATCGTCAAGCCTTATACTTAAGTCGTTCTCGGTAAGTTTTCCCTTCTTGCACCAAAGTGTAACAACATACTCTCACAAGAAGAGAGAAGGAAATTCCAGGGTTGAGTATTTTCATATGTAATAATATAAGGGAGGAAAAACTGTAATACAGATTTTATCTTACCTAAATGAAAAGTAAGTTCAAAAACTACATCCAGAAAGATCCCCCTGCTAACAGTTCCAAATCCAGGTAGGAGTCCTCCTCTTTCAGAGATAATCTCTCCCTCTGCTACTCATGGGGCAACTCTGCCTCTTCAGCACTTGGAACGGGGAAGAGCATTTTGATCTTTGTACCTTTCTACATGATTGTGGCTTCTGCCATTGAATCATTTTGTTTGAGGGGTATATGGTAAAACAAAATACCGTTTCATCGTCACGTGCATTTAGGGAAGTCTAAAAATCCCCTTTCCAGGTTAAGACATTGAATGGAAGGGTATCTATTAGCAACAGAGAGAGCTTTCATAGACTTCATCCGACTTCAACATAGGACACTTGGGCATCTAACTTATATTGTTTGAATCCAACCTAGTAATCATATCAGCCTTAAGTTCTTTGTTGATGTATTCTGTAGGTTTCTAAGCACTAGTACACCTCTGACTTGTGCTGCTTAAAGAAGTCTCTTGTAATGAGTACATGTACCACATTTTTCGGACTATAAGACACACCCCCTGCATATTTAGGGGAAATGGAGGTGCATCTTATAGTCCGAATGTGTCTTGCCTGGCTTGCTGTGGGGAAGGAGTGGCAGCGAAGGAGCAGGGTCACAGATTATTAAATATTTCACCACATTTTTTGCTGCAAAATTTTCCTATTTTCCTCCTCTAAAACCTATTTTTATAGTCCTAAAAATATGGTACTTTTTTGGTGGAACAGTCCTAGTTTTTTATACAAATTGCAATGATTTTTTAAAGATTTTCTTTATTTTTAAAGAGGAGGGAAGGGAGAAGAGAAAGAGGGAGAGAAACATCAATGTCAATGAGAGAGGGAAACAAACATTGATCAGTTGCCTCTCTCACAGCTCCAGCTGGGGGCCTCACCCACAACCCAGGCATATTTCCAGACTGAGAGTCAAACTGGCGACTTTTTCGGTTTACAAGGATGACACCCACCCCACTGAGCCACACCAGTCTGGGCTGCAGTGGTCTGTAATTACAAATTATAAATAACAGTTTTATTACTAGTCTGAGGGACTCTTTTGTTGTCAGTTTCATAGTCTAATTTTTAACTTCAAAAACTTGAATACTGATATGATCAGCTTTTAATTTTTGGTCCTAAGATACATATGTTGTTTGTCCAAAATAATAGATAATCTTTTATCTTTAGAATTTAGTCACACAAAGATGTACACTTGTTGAGATACTCTTGAAAATATTTGTCTGGCTTTTCTATCCCTTCCATTCTTGGCTTGGTAACTTGATGACCATTCATTAATTAGTTAATGCCCATCTAAAGGGAATAGAATGGGGAATGAGCATAAAAAGATTTTCACTTAAATCGAAATACTTTTGAAAGAGAAGGTAAAAAAAACTATCTAAAAGCAAATGAGTCACAAATGAGACTAGTGTTTTATTTCACACAATGTGCTTTATTTTGCTTCTTTATTTCAAACTTTAATTCAAACTTTAATTCGAACTTATATGAAAACCTTATCTATTAAATCAAGAGATACTCATTGAGCCCTGAGGCATGAGAGGAACACTGAAGAAGTATATATAGAACCTTATTCCTACCCTCCAGAGTCAGTAACACCAGTAACCAAACTTGTGATACAATATTCCTTAGTAACTAATAAATAACATATTGTCTAGGCATGTTTATGAATCTTGGTGTATATCAGTAGATATAGGGTAGGGGTAAGAAGTGGTTAAAGACCCTAATTTTAATTTAATTTACTAACGTGATTCAGTGAATGGTTATGGCTTCTACCAAGGTTAGTGAGTATGGTTTTAAAACAGGTTGATTCATTCATAGCAATGACTTTTGATATCTCTTCCTATCTAATCCAAGTTCCCTATATCAGTGCTTTCCACCCCTTTCATGCCATGCTACCCATAAAAAAATAACTCTAAGGCATAGTGGTATAAACAAATGAGTTGTTCCATACAGGAGGTCAGCACTCCTCAACCTCTTCTCTAAGAATGCATTTGGGGCATACCGGTCACCTATATGCATCATGCTGGTGTTCTGTAATATACACATAATGTCAGGATACGAGTTCTTAGGACCTTGCATGATCTGGCCCTATAATATTTTGCCAAGCTGATTTTCCCTGCTTCCAGCAGTTACCTGAACATTTCAGGTCATTAGAGCCCCTCTGATGAAGCAGCAAAAAGTTTCTGAGTGAGGTAATGCTAGATCAGACCCTCCTAACACTATGTGTTAGTATTATTATAGAGCATTGTTTAGACCTGGTTATGTTCATAATGAGATGAAGAAAATTGAGTTATCCCCAAATGGCTGTTGTTTAAGCTGAGGTATGGGGATTATCACTGAAGTCTTGCTCATAGTTCCCTTATTTGAAAAATCCACTTGATTTTAGTTTCTGAAATGTGTGTGTATATATATATGGAAAGATTTTGAGAGGAAAAAAGTGTCTTACTAATTTATTGATGGAAGCAAATAGTCTTTCCCAGAACAGATTAAAGAAGTGGTCCTACAAAGCTAATTGCTGAGTCCTTTGGCAAGTATATGCCTTGTGCCTGAGACTGGACATTTTTTATTGAATCACACAGCCGATCAATTTTTGTAATTATAATCACATATTGTATCAAAGTGAAAAGATTCATTTGGACAAAGTTTTTTATTGTTGATATTTTATTTCATAATTAGTACTTTTGCCTATTTATTCAGCTCAGAGTGATAGTTTCTATTTCAAAGTAAGAGCTGAGTCTAAAATTATGACTGATAAACTTGGTTATAATTGAAGAAAATGAGTTTTTAGATTTCTTTAGAATGAAATATTTATTAATTTGCTGAGATTAAAGGATAAAGTTTATTCAACTTCCATTATGTTGTTAATAGCAACTTTTAAATTATTACCAGTTTAAACATCATAAAAGGAAATATTCCCTTCAAACTGTGAATGGAATAAGAGAGTTAATCCTAACAGTACAAGGCTGAATATTTAGATAATATTATTAACTAAATGTGAATTTAACATTTGCCAGTTTTCAAAAGAAAGAAATTGTTTCTTTGAAAGGTTATTATTTTAAATGTTCTATCAGCTGAAATAACGGCCTGGTTATTTTTCTTCTTTATCTTTGTATAGAATAGATAAAGATGTGGAAGACAAAAGACAAAAAGCCATTGAAGAGGTAACTTAAAACCGTTAATGATCATTAAACCAGTGAAGCATCAGTTTCAAGTGCATGCCACCTCTTTTAGGAAAACTTCCTTCCAGTCCTTTCCTGTCCCAGCTCCACACCAACCTGCCTGTTCCCAGCTGTATGAGTGTCCCTCTGTGCTCCCGTAAGACCGATGTTTTTCAGCTATTCCAACGCCTCTCATACTTATCTGCTATTGTGATCGAGTTAGTGATTTTTCTCCCCTAGACTGAATTCTTTTTTGGCCAATATTGTTCTTCATTCATCTTTTTATTCTCAGGGTCTAGCAAGTTTGTGCCTTCCTTGTGTCTTCAGAATATTGATTAGCACAAGCTTGTGTTTCAAGTGGAGTTTAGGTCGAGGAAGTTGAATGGTTTTAGACCTTGAAAATCCAGATTGGCATTGGTAATGGTTTTCTCTTTTGATGTTGTTAATACCTTGGATTTTTAATACAGTATATTTCATGAAATAAAATGTCTCACTGATAAGTAGAAAAGGTGTTTTACAAATACTGAGGTTTTTTTTAAATACAAATTATGAGCTAAGCTTTTCATTTTTGTTTCTTTGCTGAGCCCTTAGAGTGCAAGTAAGGGCTATCTGTCTAGTTATTTTCTCAAAGTCTATACCTCATGGCAACATTTCCTATTTTCCTTTTTCCCTCCCTTACCCTCTCTACTCTCCTCTATTCCTTAGCTATATGTGGCTTTTCTGTGCCCCAAAAGAGTTAAGCTACGGCCTGTTCAGAGATCAAGCCCCTCCTGTCCTTATATTTCAGTATCGGTGATGTCACCTTATATCTAAGATACAGCCTATTTCTTCAAAAATCATTTCATATGCTTTACTCCAAACCTTATCTACTTAATCTACCTTGTAATTCAAAATGTTTATTCTGATCCAATCACTTGATTCTTCCTCAGTTGAATGTTCTCAGACTCTTTCCCATTTTCCCAACATTTTGGAAAATATGCTTTCTTTTTAGAATCTTTCACTTTAAAAGGAAATTCAGCTGAAGACTAAGAAAATGAAGTCAGAGTGAAGATTAGGGTCAATGTATCAAACAACTTAAATTTTTTTATATACATATTTAAAATAGAATAAATACACAGTACAAAGAAAAAAGTTCAAACTGTGAATAAGAAATATCAGATGAAAACCAGGAGCCTCTCGTTCTCCCATCCCACTTCCTATAAGTAACTACTGTGACATCTATATGCTCATTAATCTTATGCATGTAATAGCACGTGTTCTTTAAATGCAGGGTCCGACAGAAGTAAGGCCTGCTTGAGTGTGGTTAGGGTAATAGTATGGGTGTAACAATTTATCATTTTAATTTGAACATTTCACCTAAAATATAATATGGTACGCTTGAGTGAGATACTGTTATGTTACAGAATTACATGCTTATGATTTGTCATAGAAGATTTTGTAATAAAAAAGGCATTGTTTGTGGTGGACCCTGTATTTTACACATGTAGGATCATCGTTTTCATACTCCTTTTCATCTTAGTTTTTCTCTGATTTTGTTATTATCAGCACACACCAATTTTAGTTAATACCTTAGTATTCCATTGTATGAATGTATCATAACCTAACTCAGCCCCTATTGATATTTGTTTAGGTTGTGTTCGGTGTTTTTCTATCACAAATAATGCTTCAGTGAACACCCTTGTACGTATATCTTTGCATAATTGAAATGGACTTGCTAAGTCAGAGGCTTTGTGTTCTCAGTTTTGGTAAATCTTACCACCTCGCCCTCCCAAAGGGTGGTAACAGTTTATATCCCAACTGTATTATGGTACTTCCTTTTTTCTCAAATCTGCAATACTGGTTGTTTTCAACCTTTTAATTTGTGCTACTCTTACTACTTTAAGATTTTATGTGCTTATTTGGATTTGTATATATTTCATTTTGAGTGAACTTGTGCATGGCTTTATAGTTCTAGAGGTCCTTTCTATTTTCTTCTGGGATTATCTGTATCATAATCTTTGTCCCTCCCCACTTTTGCATCTTTTCCTCATGCATTCATAGGTAGTTTAGTCAGGAAAATTTGTTCTTTGTTATAGGTGTGGCAAAATATAAAGAGAATGTTTTGAGTTGCCCCAAAACATAGAAAGGGAAGGGGAGAATATAGTTAGTAGGCTTGACTTTATATCTAGAATGAAAGAGGAAGACATGTATCCAAATGCTGAATCCCCATTTGAAAATACAGTGGGGTGCTTGTGTAACAGCTGGCTGTCTGGTTGTGGGAAGAATGAGTTTTAGCGATGGCTGCTGTTCATGATGGAAATAGTCCAGCTGTGGCCAGATTTAAGTTCCGGACTTTCCATCACGGAGTGAGAAAGGAACCGCAGCAGTGCGCCAGTATACACAGGAGTTCCACCATGCAGATCAGAGGACGTAGGCGCAGGCGCAGATGTTGAGCACAGAGTGAAATAGGTAGCAAGTGACGATTTTGAGTGTTTATTACCTGTATTTTTAATATAATTGATTGTAAATTTATATGGTTTTATTTATTTTTTTAATTTGAAAATATTAATACACAATTTGATTTTCTTTTAGGGAAAAAACATGACAAACCACTAAAATTACATTGCAAATTACAGAAATTATATGTCTTTAGATTATATTACCTTCTAGAGTTAGCCAACATTGAACATACTAACTTCGGTCCCCATTTCTTTTGCAATATTTAACACTGTTTTAAATCACATTTATTGGGGCAACATTGGTTAATAAGATCATATGTTTCAAGTACACATACTATGATTCAGATTTGCTCGCAGCTTATTTTATTTTTAATATTAGCTTTGCTCACAATTCCTGAAAATGTAACAATTAGATCTAATAATTAATAATGAGAGCCAGTGCAGGCCGGCTCCAGCACGCCTCTCACACTGGCTCACTTGTATATGTCTGTCTCCATTTATTCGATCCTCTTCTTCATCTCCCTTTTGTCATTATCTCTTAAAAAAAAAGTTGGGGAAGAGATTATAAATATATTTTCTGTGTTTAATGCCCTTAGCTTACTGTGCAAGTTTCAAATTTAAGTGGTCGATTTGGAGTATTAAGATTTCTCTTTATATATACTTTAAATTTCTTCCTTTTCTCCTTAGGTCATTTGTGCTTTTAAGTACTAAAATTTTTCATTATAACTTGTAAGTCAATATATAATATTTCTGATGGTTATTTGAAGTTAACACAGGTAATTTTTATACTTGAGGGGAATTTATGTCTAACTGTATGACTTTAATCTTACTAGTTTTTCACTAAAGATGTCATCGTACCCTCTCCTTGGACTGATCATGAAGAGAAACAGCTTTCAGAGTATCATTCCAATAAATGTGAGTGTGCAAAGAAAGTCATTTGAATAAAAATCATACAGCCATAAAACTCTATGAACGTGAAGTGACATATGGTGAAGTGGTAGTTTACCTGGTTTGGTAAGGAACTTGCTGTAGTTTAGATTTCTGGATACCATAGGATTGAACTATTTTAGGCTTAGAATTTGAAGTCTGACTTAAATGTACTGAATTTGGGGTTTTTGGCCATTCTGTTCTGAATTTAACTTTTTCTGAATGACCATTGTGCAAATCACTTCTAATGATAGTGATAGAGGAGCTGTAGATGCAGAAATAGTTGGTACTGAATGTAGAGCTGGGAGTTATTACTGACTTTTGCAGTGATTTTGAAGGTTAATTTTTTAAATGAAATCCTTAAATTGCTTTGCTTTTTTGTTAACTTTCTTCTTATTTCTTATAAAAGTACAGAAAGAATGGACACTTGACCTCTGGGATAGTGTAATGCAGCTGATTATCTGTAAAATTAATAGGCAAATTGAAGGGCATACCAGTAATTTTTCAAATATCTTTTTTTTTTATCTCCAGGAAGTAGTTATCTTGTATTTGCACTCACTATCCTTTGGGTTGTAAGCATTGTTCAGATATTATTTTGTGTATATGCATCCCTCATTTCAGTGGAATCACCCCCTCTTCTACGTAGCATGCGTTCATTATGATCTAAGTATAAGGGAATATTTGTTCCATTCTTTATCAAAACCACAACAGTAATGGGTAAAAAGGATTGAGCACTTTCTCATGTGTTGGGACAGTGCTGAGTGATTTCAGTAATTTCTTACAACAATTTATATGACGTAAGTGCTATTACTATCCCCATTTTATAGGTGAGAAAACCTAGTTTTAAAAAGGTTAGAACACATTTCAGGGTTACAGATATGATCAAAGTAAAAGAACCTGGATTTGAAACGAGGCATCTTCAGTTCAGAGTCTGTATTCTCAGCCATTACAAGCTATGATAGTGGATGTAGACCTCATGCTACTCACTATGAAACAGAAAGGGGGACTTGGCCCAATTATTCAGTCTCTTTAGACGGGGGTCGGACTACATGGTTGTTTTTAACGTCTCTCCCAGCTCTAAAATTCTATATCCAAGTTGACATTTTTTTTTAAGATTTTATTTATTTCTTTTTTAGAGAGTGGGGAAGGGAGGGAGAAAGAGAAACATCAATGTATGAGAGATACATCTGTCAGTTGCTTCTCATGCACCCCCAACTGGGGACCTGTTCTGCAACCCAGGCAGGTGCCCTCACTGGGAATCCAACTGGCGACCTTTTAGTTCACAGGACAGCACTTATTCCATTGAGCCACACCAGCCAGGGTTCCAAATTGACATTTTCTTAGACACTACATTTTCCCCCAAAATTCTTTAATTTTTTGTTTTTGAAGAGGTGAGTTAACCTTCTTATGTGATCATTTTAATAAAATAATTTTAGATATCAAGTATCCTGTGTTAGTTACAAGACCAAGAAGATGCAAAAACTGTGACCGCCTCTGTGACGCACTGATCCGACCCAGCCCGTGACGACAGAGGGCAGTGGTCGGTGGGTGGGCTCCAGAGCTGCGCTGTCCAGTATGGTGTTGGGAGGCAGTTCCCTCTGTCTCACGTTTCTGCACAGGACATGAGGAGTGTTACAGACAGGCTTGTTCCCAAACTCTCTTTTCAGGGACGTTTGAAGTATGAATGTCCTTGGAAGACAGAGAGTGAATCGGTCCAGAGCAGAGAGTGGGTTTCGTTTCTTCCTCTGGAGCCGGTTTGCTCACAGCTTATAAAAAGTAGGATTTCCCACAAATTGGCAATTATAAAATAATCTCGAGGTTGTAAAGTACAACATAGGAAATAAAGTCAGTAATATTGTAGTGACTATGTTGTATTGGGGAACTATTAGACTTATTGGAGGGAATCACTTCATAAATATTTAACCAGTGTGCTCTATATCTGAAACTAATATATGTTGAATGTCAACTGTAATTAAAAAAAAAAGGAATGGGATTTTCCAAGTTTAGAGTTCCTCAGCTGGGATGAAAACCCACTGTGTGTACCACATCCACCTGGGCTTCAGGTCACCTTGGGACTTAGGGGTGAAGGGAACTGACGTGAACAAGAAGCTTCTGCTGCCTGCCGTGCTGGGAACAGTGAAGTTCTGTGTCTTGACCCACAAGTCCCAAGCCTTCAGCCTCCTTGGAACATAGACACATTAATGTAGACACGTGCAAGGAGGGTGAAATCTCAGACCATTGGAAGTTTTTCACATATGGTAGCCACTAGCCAAATGTGGCTTTTTAAAGTTCAGTACATTTAAATTATACGTTTAGATTCCTTGTCACATTATTCACATTTCATGTTTAAGGTATTTGGATTCTAACCTAAAAACCAAGGACATTACATAAGGTTTTCAGCCATGGAGTGGCTTGTTGGCATTTGCCTTATAGAAGAAGGTCATGCCTCCTTGATGTGGATCCTGGCCGGCAGGATCTGTGTGTGTTGTGGTTGCTATGAACAAACACACATGGACTACAGAAGACCTGTGGAGAAAAGGGGATGGTGCCCGGCCCCTGCCTGAACAGGCTTTTATTGCTTTTTCGGGTACATTACATGGAGGATGGTCCTCATTTACCACGCACAGATTCCTACAGGTGATTACCTTTTACAGATAACAAAGCAAAGAATGTTGCTAATTACTTCAAACAGAAGGATGTTTGCAGACCAAGGGGAACAGTGGTTGAAGCAGTCACACTCCATACTTGGGAAGTTTAGCACAGACTTCATGAAGTTACACTAAGCCCTTGCTGCCTCAATGCAGGGTGAGGGAGTTATAGCATAAGCAAGCCTCAATAGCAGCCTAGGTACAATGCAGGCCTGATACCCCATGGGAAAACCTCTCCGTGGGTGTGGTCCTGTGTGCTGACTCGCTCCCCACTGGTTTTCCACATGGGTGCTGAGCTACTTTTCCATGCCATGAGACCGCCTACAGCAAAAAACAGCATTTCAATCTAGAATTTTATTTTTTACCAATTCTCATAGTATTTAAGAGGAGACTTTAACTTATTTACCCACCCACCCACTTACTCTTTCATCCATTACTTATTTAGTTTTCTTAGATTACTTGGATTTATTCTATTATTGTATTTTAAGCTTTCTGGGATGTTTTTGGCCTCCTTGCTATTTCTTTTTTTTTTTTTTTTTTGCTTATAATAGTCATTTTTGTCTTTTTTTAACCTGGTGATGTTCAAGTTATAAAGCTTAACATTTAGTTATTAACTTTCAACTAAAAAATTATTTGCAGCTATATTTTGACTCCTCTTGTGAAAAAGAAGAACTTGGTTTTGTTTATCAAATTTTAGGTTTTCAAAATGATCTGGCATTTTAATTCAGACAATTTATCTAAACCCATTTTTCAAAAATGTTAAGCAACAGAGGAGTGGTTTGAGGATGACTAACACTCATCCCAGCCTTTCAAGCTTGATGTCATGGAGCACAACCGTGCTTCCCTCCAGGTACTACTGTATTTTGCCATGTATAATGCTCACCCATGTTTTTGTTACATAAAATTTCAGGGAAAAAATCTTTTGTTTTAATTTTTCTTTCTCTTTCTTTCTCTCTCTTTCTCTCTCTCTCTTTTCTTGACTTTATTTATTTTTAGGACAGGGGAAGGGAGGGAGAAAGAGAGGTAGAGAAACATCAATGTGTGGTTGCCTCTCACACACTCCCCACTGGGGACCTGGCCTGTAACCCAGGCATGTGCCCTAAACTGGGATTTGAACCTGTGACCCTTTGGTCCGTGACCTAGCCTGGTTCACAGGCTGGCACTCAACCCACTGAGCTGCACCAGCCAGGGCTTGTTTTAATTTTTCAACTCCATTAGTTATTTATATTTAGATTCTTGTTTTTATTATAAAGGAATTTTAGCATTTATTTATGAACATATTATGGTATAAGAAATTTTGTGTAACAAATACAAAACACAGTAACAGATACAAGGTATTTCAGGTACTACCCATATAATGCATAATGCTCATCCTTATTTTTTTCCCTCAAAATTTTGGGCAGAAAGTGTGCATTATACACAGCAAAATATGATACTTGGTGCCTCCTTATTTGCTATACAGTAATAATCCTTCAAGTTTTATCTTTGTGTTCCCTCAAAATTAAAAAAAGATAAACTTAACAGAAGTATGCCACATTATGTACTTTTACGCAGACATTGGTTTTTATTTTTTCCTATTTAAATTTAAATTATTTTATTCTTCAAATACAGTTGTCCATATTTTCTCCCCACCCCTCCCCCCAACCCTCTCCAAACCCACCTCACTCCCTTGCTCTTACCCTCCCCCTTGGTTTTGTCCATGTGTCCTCAAACATTCGTTTTTAAAATGTTTCCACTTTGTTCTTTTTTTTTCACTGTAGGAAAAGTAATCCCTAAAGTAGATGAAGAATATAAAATATAAGATTTTTACTTTAAATGTTTTACAGATATTAATGTAAATAATGAATCTCCAATTGGAAGAAAGCTGACCATCCATTCTGAGAAAAGCAATGGTGAGTACGAATATATTCTGAAAAGATGTATATTCCACATTAAGACACGTTTCATTTTAAATTCAGTTTATGTAGTGACACTTTACTCTGGAATTGAAATTATTTACTTTTTATTAATGAACTATATGAGAGCTGACTTTTAGAAATAAAATGTAGCTATTAGAATAGCTACATCAAGCTATATTTTAAAAACAGCCATAGTATGTTGTTTGTTCTTTTGGTTCAAAGCATAGAAATTGCTATTTGGTTTTGAAAATCTTTCTTTTAATTTGTTAATATTAGGAAATTTATTCTCAAATATGGATTGACTTCTCTTTTTATTCAAATGCCAGCAGAACAATCAGTAGTTAATTTGAACCATTTACAGTTTATATCAGTGCTGGAAAGTATGGGAAACTTCCCACTTACAGGACGGTGACATGGTATGCAAAACAATCCATAAAGGAATAATTGACTTTGGCTGGAACATCATGGGGAGGTGTTTGAGTGGGAAGCACATGGTTGATTATATGCAATATGCTTTCATTGATTTATTCACGCTTGTATTTTATAATCTGCTTGTTTCCAGCTGCTTGTCAGACATTGCTCTCTCTTCCTGTGGATTTTAATATAGAAAATGTTTTAGGTAAGTACTATATTTATTTAAACCTTTAATAACTTAAAGGGTTTTGTTTTAATGCCTATTTGTAAATAGAAATAGTGCTTCTTTCTAAAGAAGTTGAGGAACTAGTCTGAAATTTCTCTCTCCTTTTTTTAAACCTGGCCTAAATTAGCCTTTTTATCATAGTGGTCTTTTCTATAGACATAAACTATTTATGCAGACACCTTACTGGTGTTACTTATAATAATAATGGAGCACTCAAAAAAAGGAATAATTTTAGATTTTAAACATCACATATGTTATTAAACTTTGATCTATTGAAACCAATTTAAACATACAGTATATGGTGGTTTTGAAAAAAATCATGTAACTGAAGTCTAACTGCTCTTCAAAATGACTAGCTTTGCCTTTTGTTCTGTTAACATTAAATGTAGGTGACTATTTTAGAGCTGATGAGTTTGCAGATCAATCTCCTGGAAACCTTAGTTCTTCATCTCTCAGAAGAAAGCTATTTTTAGATGGCAATGGAAGTATCTCTGACTCCTTATCTCCGACTTCTCCCAGAAGTCTTCCCAGCTGTGCTACAACGTCACTTGAGGTTTTCTACTCAATAGATTTATCTCCTGTGCGGTGTAGGAGTCCTGTGCAGACGCCAAGTTCGGTAGTGTATTAAAAAGTGGCTGGTTACTTTCTTATGGATATAATTGGACCTTGGTGCCCATATTGCACTTGAGCAATAGTTGCCTTTTAGGTTTTATATTTCATAAGGATTATATTAGTTCACATTTTTGTTACTCAGGAATGTTTTTGGCTAGATTTTATAATTTTGCACTTACAGATATACGTGATAATCAAACTTATCATGTGTTTCAAGGAATTTAATGTAATTTGTTCACTGAATTATGTTAAGATTTTCAGTATGATGCAACAAGATTGGCACTGATGAAGTAATATAATTAAAAATTTTCACGAACAGCTAGTATGAAATAAAGTGGTTTGTTTAAACACGGTGCATTTATATTTTATATTGACTAACATATTCTGCTTCAAAATTCCTGTAACAATTTTCTTAGCTGTTCTTGTTACAAGATACCTTGGCTTGGCATTTTTACTTTAGTGAGACCAAAGTTTATATGATCTAGTTTATAAATGTGTTTTGAAGATGAAAATAAAAGTTGAGGAAGAGAAATGTATATTTTTATTTATTTGTTTTTATCATAGGGGCAGTTTTCTTCTAGCCCTATTCAGGGTAGTGCAAAAAAACACAGTTTGGGAAGTATAACCAATCCTTCACCAACTTCTTCACCCACTTTCTCACCAATTGCATTTCAAATAGGAAAAGCACCTCTCTCAGGTATGTCTCATAATGTAATAACTAATTTAAATTTTTAATCATTTTTTGTCATTATAGAGGCTCTTTTTAGCTTGTTCTAACCTTTTAAAGTTTAGAAACTTTTTTTTTTTTACAAAAAAAAAATTTACCTGTAAAAACAGATTCTTGGCAAAGTTGTACTCTAGTGTTAAATACAGGTAATTTGATTAGCAGTATTTATATCAGTCACTCTCATAAAGGGAATCAAAGAAAGATGGTAAGTTTAGAGATAAGTTGGCTTGGGGTACGCTTTGGTTTTGCTTCTGAACTGTAGGTTCACACTTTGGTAATCAAATTTCATATTTTATAAACATGCATGTGTTTGCGTAGGCTGGCACTCAACTATATTTAAAGCAAATATAGCATGGGGAAATTGACATATTTCACTTTGCAGTATGTCAGTTTCTCAAAACCTATTTGTAGTAAAGACAAACAGAAAACTGAAAATGGTATTTTTTGTTAGTTGTTCCTGTGAGTGTGTCTGTACATATATGGAGGGTCAAGTACACACTCACACACACACACACACACACACACACTCATAGAGTTCTCTGTCCTGCTTTCTTCACAGAACATTTTATTATGTGTACTCTTGCTAGGTCGTTCAAGTCATTTATTATTGTCTACAATCATGAATTTGAATCACTATGTAATATTCCATTTCATGGATATATTATTTGTTTTCAACTGTTGGTAAACATTCAAATTGCTTCTAATTTTTTAGAATCGCATAACTAATGATTATCTTTGTATATAAGTTGTGTTATCCATATTTATAACCTTGGTTAAATTTTCAGAAGTGGAGTCATTTAGTCAAAAGGGGTGAATGTTTTTAAGACTTGATGAATTTTGTCAAATTTACTTTATGAAAGGTTGCACCAATTGAAATTTTCATCAGCAGTGTATAAGAAAGTGAGTTTCTTCCCATCTAGAAACACTGGCATTATCATTCTTTTTGAAGTTTGTTAATTTGGTGCATTAAAAAAGGTCTCATTGCTTTCATTTTTGTATCTTTGATTATTATGACAATGAATTCTTTCTGAAGATGGACATTTTATTTTGGAATGGGGGATTATTACTAAAGTGAAATGTCCTAGTTAATATTTTTGGACCTCATTTGACCACAAGTGACTGAAAGCACAGAAAACAAACCTGTACAAGAAGGGCAAGTGCATTTCATGTGTCTGCCACTACTAATTTGCAGCTTGTCCCCTGGTATTTCCAGTATCTTCCTTGTATATGAACAGTATTGTTATAATAGCAGTATACTTTTGGGGAAGTAATTCCCAGTAGTATTTTGTTTAATTTAAAAAGGTAAAGTGCCATAGGAATTATTTTTGCACAACCTCATCTTACTTATTGAGACACATTCGTTTGTACTACAGGGGTTTTTTTTTCCAGTACAGTTTATGTTCAATATTATTATATATTAGTTTGAGGTACATGGCATAGTGGTTGGGCAGTCATATACTTGACAAAGTGTTCCTCCCAGTATTTCCAGTACCCACCTGGCACCATAAGTAGTAATTACAGCATTACTGACTATATTCCCTATGCTGTAATTTACCTCCCTGTGACTGTTTTGTTGATACCAATCTGTACTTCTCAGTCCCTTCACCTAGTCCCCCACCCCCTCTCCACTGCGGCAGCCATGACTCTGTTCTCTGTATCTGTGAGACCGTTTCCATTCTGTTTTTTCATTCATATTGTTCTTTACATTCCACATATAAGTGAGATAATATGGTATTTGTCTTTCTCTGACTGGCTTATTTCACTTAGCATAATACCCTCTAGGTCCATTGCATGCTGTCCCAAAAGATAAGATTTCATTCTTTTTATGGCCAAGTAATATTCCACCGTATATATGTGCCACAGCTTTTTTATTCACTCATTTGTTGCTGGGCACTTGGGTTGCTTCCATGTCTTGGCTGTTTGTATATAAGAAAACAAAAAGACAACCTACTGAATGGGAGATGTTTTCCAATGATACATCCAATAGGGGGTTAATATCCAAAATTTATAAAGAGTTCATACAACTCAGTACCAAAAAAATGATGTTTTAATCCAATTAAAAGATGGGCAAAGGACCTGAATAGACACTTCTCCAAAGAAGACATACAGATGATCAGTAGACGTGTAAAGACACTCAATGTCACTAAACAGCATAAAAATACAAATTAAAACCACAATAAAATATCACCTCTGACCTGTCAGAATGGCTATTATCAACACATCAACAGACAACAAGTGTCCATGAGGTTGTGGAAAAAAGGGCACCCTAGTGCACTGTTGGTGGGACTGCAGACTGGTACAGCCACTGAGGAAAACAGTGTGAAGTTTCCTCAAAAAAATTACAAATGGAACTGCCTATGGCCCAGCAATTCCACTTCTGGGAATATGTCCGAAGAAACCGAAAACACTATTTGAAAGAATATGTGCACCCCTGTGTTCATTGCAGCTTTATTTACAATAGCTGAGATTTGGAAGCAGCCCATTTGCTATTGTTTTTAACAACATTTTACTTTAGTAAACCACACAGCTGTTAATAGTACTCTGTGTTTTTCTGCCATGAAACATGATTACCATTTAGGAATGGCTTCCATTTTTATGATTTTACAATTTAACTTTTCCCTCCCAATCTTTTAGAACAGAGGAAGATTACTTTCCATTCTCCTGATGCTTCATCCAGAATAAATGCTAATGGAATTAGTAATCCATGTATCAGAAGTCCTTATATAGATGGCTGCTCACCTATAAAAAACTGGTCTCCTATGAGACTCGAGATGTATGGAGGTGGTACTCAGTATCAGACCTCACTGATTCGAATACCTTTTACCCTTGAGGCTCACAGTGAAGACGAAGAAAACAAAGTGAATATTCCTTCCACCGACACCTCATCACCCACTGTGGGCACTGCTGGAGCCCACCTGCGGCAGGGGGACAGTGCCACTTCTCCACACGGCGCACGTTTAGTAGTGACCTCCCTGTCTGTCACACAGAACCAGCCCAGTGCTGCCGCGGAGGTCCTAGCACTGCTGCAGGACGTGGAGAGTGAGAAGGAGAACAACACTGTGGATATGGTTGACCCTGTAGAGACAGCAGAGGAGAACACTTGGATTAAGGAGCCGGTGGACAATGGGAGTTCACCCATGGCTGATTCTGTGAGCGGGATCGCCTTCAGTATTGAAACCTCTCATATGTGTATGTCACCTCTTGCCGAAAGCAGTGTCATTCCTTGTGAAAGCAGTAACGCTCAGGTAAAGTATGCTAATATTCTGTAGTCCTCTACCTGTGCTCTTGGTGTTCGCTAGCCTCTCTCCTAAGATTGTGGTAAGAAAGAAAATGCATTAAATATGAAGACTTTAGCATTATATAAAATTTTTTTTAAATATCAACACTAGGCTGATGTCAAGAGGGTTATTTTCTTGTGACTTGGACTCGTGATGCATGTTTAATATTCATATTAACTGATATTTGTTTGGAGAAGGAAAAGTTATGAGAGCAGACAAAAATGAAGCCTCTCTGTTTTTACAGACTTCGGAGTCAGACCACCTTCTCAGGATTCATCTCCCTTTTGTGTGGAGCTAGTGCCGGAGGAATTCAGTTTCTTATATAGCATTTGTATACCAGAAATACAGTAGTTTTGGGTTTTCCTTTTTATTTAGGGAGAAAAACAACTGAGCTTAGAGCACTTATGTGAGGGTTTTTTTGTGTGTGTGCTTCTCTGTTTTAAAATGTGTTTTCATAACCAACAGTTCCAGTTTTGTCACGTCTATCAATGGAAAAGCATGATTCATTTGATAGGTGGCCTTATAGCCAGCACTTACTTTCAGAAAGACATTTGTTGCATTAATTGCCATATTCTTTGAGCTGAGAATTTTGAAAGAACTTTAAGATAGTCAGAACGGCAGTTCTTACCTGCCATTTCATAGTAACAATAATGTTTAGGTAGTTCTTACTACACGCCTGCTGTAGTTCTGAGCACGTTGCATGTGTCAATTTGTCTAATCTTCCCAACAGTCCTGTGAAATAGGTGTTCTATTATCCCCCTTTTACAGATGAGGACACTGAGGGTCAGGCAGGTTAAGTAAATTACCTCTTTAGCTAGTGAGTGGTAGAGCCAAGACTTGGCTTCTGGTAGTCTGGCTTTAGAGTCCATGATCGTCCGTCCAAGTTTGTACTGACTTGTGACATACCCAACACAGGGCACATACCGTCACGCACCCTGTGTCCCAGTGGGCCGGGCCCTCCTCATTTACTCCCACACCCACCCTCTGCTGTTCTCGTGCTGTGCGTCTGGGCCTGCTACTGTGTGAAAGCATGGAGGGATTCTAAGAGACCCCAAATTAAATACTGTCTTTTGCTCATATTTTCATGCCAGGATATACAATATTTTCTATTGTATATCCTGACTTCTAGAATCATTGCTCCAAAAAAAAAAACACAACAAACCACTAGACTTGCTTTTACCAATTTAGCTTCTAAATTTGTTTCCTAAATGTGAAAGCACATACAAACTTGGCTTTAAAGGTATTGTAACTCTTTTTTTGTACTATATTTATAGCTTTTCGTAGCATTTATAGAAGAACTGTAGAATACTTTTATTGAAATACATCTTAGTCACCCTCCCCATTGGAAGCCTGTATTACTACTGAATTGCCATCTACTGTGCCTGGACCTGAGTACCTGCAGGGGTATTTAGGTCCATTTGGGGACTTTTCATACCACTTATTATAAGTCTTTTCCTTGTATTGAGCTAAACTTTGGTTCACTTTTACCCTTTGGGCCATATGATAATAATGCCTACTATTTGCACATCATTTTGTTACAGAGGTAGCTTGCAAATTCGAAGACAGCATATTTTCCCAGGACCTTTTGACTTGCGTTATTATGGTGGGTGGCCATCCATGTACTGTACACACAGACCCCTTCACTGTACTAGGAATTCCCTTTACCTCTCCTGTGGATATAGTTTTCTATATCCTACTCCCCTCTTTCCTGGTTTATTTCTCACTTTACTGGAACACAGTTTTTGGTAGCTGCCCAAGGAAGAGTACATTTTTCAAGATACTGTGTGTCTGTTCATGTATTCTTTATTCTCTCACATTTGAGAGTTGGGAAATAATTGCCCTTCAGACTTTGAAGGTATAGCGTCATTGATTCTGTTCGGTATTGCTGGTGAGAGATCTTAAACCATTGTAATACTTAAATCTTTTGTGTATGATCTCTTCTTAACCCCTTCTCTGGAGCGTAGGATCTTTGCCGCAGTGTTCTGAAATTTCAGTGATTCTTTGCTGTGGGTTTCTTACTTGTCCTGGGTACTCAGAGAGGCCTTACGATCAGTAGACATATACCCTTCACTTCTTGGCTCTTTTCTTGGATAATATCACATTTCTCCTATTATTGTCACTGTTTTCTCTGGAACTACTATTGATTCTCCAGGTTTGGAAAATTTTTTTACTATACTTTTCATCTCCTTTTCTCAATTATATATAATAACCCTTCTGAATTTGGGGGGGGGTTGTTTGTTTTGGTAGTAACTAAAAAATGTACAGCACGGCGGGCAGAGGTTGCACGGTCCAGCCTTCCTGCTTTCCAGCCTCCTCGGTTCCTCCATTCTCTTTGTTTCAGTCACGTGGCTTTCCAGAGTTGTGACTTCCCATGTTCCCTCTTGTCAGAGGACCTTTGCACACAGTGTGGGATTCCTCTTCACTTTACCTGCTTAGCCCAGTTTATTTTTTAGTTCACAACTTAACAGTTCTGTCATCAAAGGAATCTTCCCAGGTCACACTAGGCCAAGCCGGCTCATTATTATATGCTTTCCTGATTCCATGGACATGTTGCATTCTTGCTAGTCAGACCATTAATCCAGTGATTGTGTGTTTTTGTTTATCCCACAAGTGATTTAAAAAAAAAAAAAGCTCGGCATGTAATAGTTACTCATTAAATATTTGTGGAACGAAAGGCAAATGCACGCCTAGATAAGTTCAACCAGAAGGACGTACAAAGTGGGAACTGCAAGCCAGGGTTTGGAATCCTGAGAAGCAGTTGGGGAATAAAGGAGGCCGAGTCTCTGAAAGGGACCTCGGACCGGCCAGAGGGCAGAGGGTCCTCTAGGAAAGCAGGTGTCATGGGATATTTTAAGAAGGAAAGAATACTTAGTAGACACACACCTTGATTTATTGTTCTTCATGGATATTGCATTTTCTTACAAATTGAAGGCAAGACCCTCCATCAGCAGGAAGATGGCAACTCGCTTTATTGCGATGCTCACTTTTTTGCAGTCGTCTGGAAGCAAACTGCAATATCTTTGATGTATACCTGTACCCTCAAAATAAAAGCAAGGGTTACAGGGCTTGAAAAGTGGATTAATAACAAGAAATTTGGTGAGTGAGCAACCTCAAGGTGGAGAGGAAAAAGGTAAATGGAAAGAAGGTAAAGTAATGAAAAAACATATGTAGATGAACCTTGGAAGATTTATGACAGTTAGTGGAGAACATTAAAGTCCAAGATCTCTTGTGTTTCTTTTTTTACTTTGTTTTTACTTTGAGAGAAACTAGCCTATTTAAGTGAATAAGAAAGGGATGAGAATTAAAAGAACAAAGAAAACTAGGAACTGCAGGATGATTATTCGTAATAGGTATCAGTTATGTATCCTTTTCAAGTACCAGACACCAGACCAAGTATTTTCGGGTCAGAATCTAACCCTCATGATAACTTAACAGCGATGCAGTAGGTGTCATCTGTGAAATCGTGATTCATTTTATACATGAAGGAACTAAAGTGTGCAAGATGGGGCATAATCTAGGGCTCTGCTAGGAGGATTAGCAGAGGTAACCCGCTTCTATAAAAGAGGGCAGAGAGCACGGATGGGCGTGAGTTCAAGGATTTGTAGCTGGGATGGGGGGTGAGGGCTGGCATAGCTTAAAGAACCTGGGGAATGTGGCCTCAGGGAGACGCAAACTGAAGATTTTGGTTTTTTTCCCAGCTGTTTCATAAACTTAAGAAAGTAACTTCCTTGAGCTTATTTCCTCTCCTTTGGAAAGTGGGGGGTGATAATTGGACTATAGGATACCATATTGTTGTGAATAGAATGTGAGCAAACTAACAGCACTGGTTTTCAATAAGTGGTGGGAGACCGCGTCTTGTCTGAAAAGTCGTGAGCCAAGGCGGGGGGCAGACGTGAGGCTGAGAGCCGTGAGGGAAGGGCTACAGTGCTGAAGTCAGGCTTCAAAGGACACATTGTAAGCCACTGTTGTCAGCTGAGAACCTGGTAGGTTTTTAAAGAGCCACATCTGATTTATGTGGGAGAAAATAAATTTAGTGACATTGTGTAGGATGAATGCCAGTAGAGACAGCATTGAAAGACAACTGAAAGAATATTATAAACGTTAGAATCAGAACTAAATTTGAATTAAAGTTATTTATGGGCTGTGGGGTCTTAAGGCAGGTTCCCCTTGAATAGAGGAATAGAACAGTGAATGGAACATGCCTTTTCCATCTTTTTGAGCACCTCGTCCTTCTCAGGTTTCACATGGTACTGATGCCTGTCTCTCTGTCTGTGGGGACTAAGGAGACGATTTGCGTTGCCTGGTTGGCCCATTGGAGGCACCAACATTAGTAGTAGTCCAGGGGAGAGCCAGTGGTCAGCCACCATCTTACGGGCTGCCTGTGGATCCTTTTCTTCCTCCAGAGTGGGAGACACTCTTACGTGCCTTACTCTCCGCTGTACTGTTAACTTTCCCCTTGATATCGTCAGTTATGTATTTAATTTTGAGTTGTGTAAGCCAGTTGTTTGGCACTGGTGAATAATAAAAGAGTAATTGGCAGATTCTCTGGAGGCAATCTGATAATTACATTTTTGACCAAAGAGCTGCTGAATGTTAGCAGCACAGGGTGTTTCCCCTGGAATGTAATACAAGATTCTTCTATCACACGTCACAAGGGTTTTGTTCAAATGGAACGTGACTCCGTAGTGAACACATACACATCCTGAGAACTGGGAACATCTTTCTTAAGATGATAGAATGCACTCTCTAGGCTAGTCTGATGTGTGTGACGGCGGCACAGGAACACACCTTTTCCTTCCCTTTGCCCCATATGAAAAGGACTTAATGAATCCACATAGGGTTGGCGTTGCTTGGTGCCCAGCACTGTGCAGGTAAATGCAGCGTGTGGAGTGGACGGGGACTTGGGAGCCCCAGTCTGTGCTCATTCTGCCTGGCATTGTGAAAGTCAACCTTTCTGAGTCCTCATCTGTAGAGTTAAGAGGGACACAGAAAGGAGAAAACAACAGTATGATATTGAGCGCTGTACAGGGGGCTGGCACTTTCTTAGGCTCTCAATAAATACATGGGGGAAACACTCCCCCAAACGAAATTTATTTACAAAAAAGTTGTGTATTCATTCTCACATGTTTAAACTTCAGTCACCTTCACATTACTCTCCACCTGATGCAGTACACCTATCCAGACTTTTTTTCAACTGCTCAAAATAATTTTTGAACTCGTCAATCTTGATGTCTTTTATTGCTTCTGTAATTTTTCCTTTCACTTCTTCTTCATCAGGAAAACATTTCCCTTTGAGGACTTTTTTATCCAGGGAAACAAAAAAAAAGTTGCTCGGGGTGCGATCAGGTGAATAGGGAGGGTAGGGTAGGGGGAGTCATGTCTTTTTTGGTCAAATCTGCTGAATACCCAGTGTGGTGTGGGCAGGTGCACTTGTAAGTCACCTCTCATGAAATGGGCAAACATGTTGAGTCTTCAAAAAATTCACTGAAATCGAACACAGCCTCTCACAACAACTCCAGCTGGCATGATGATACAGACGGGTTCCTAGAACACTCACCTAGCAGGGGAAGCCTGTACTACAAAGGGGCCCACCCTCCAAAAGATATTCCAGGGGGGTTTTGGGGGTCCCCCCCATGTACAAAAACCAAAGTTTGCTACTATCCCATTTTTTCTTTTGCTGTATTGGGTGTAATGATGTATACTGGAATGCTACAATTTCAGTGAGATGAAAAGTTGAACAGAGAGAAAGGAAGTGAGGAAGAAAGTGAGGGGGAAGGAGAGGGAAAGAGAAACATCAGTTTGTTTCACTTATTTATGCATTCATTAGTTGATTCTTGTAGGTGCCCTAAGGATCGAACCTGCACCCTTGGCATATTAGAACGATGCTCTAACCTTATTATCTAAGCTACCCAGCCAGGGCTGAAGAACCCATTCTATATAGAATTACCTTTTATGTTTATATATTACTTTTAAATTTCATTCAATATGATCAATACTAAATACATTATAGTTTTCAGTTATGAATGATAGTACGATTCACTTAAATATTAAAATTTCATATTTATGTGAGTCATATATTTTATGGGTAAAATACATTTATATATATTGTTAAATTTACTTAAACATTAAAGCTCCTCAAAATAAATTTTGTGGTTAAGTGGATTAGTTTGCAATGTTATCCTTAGTGTGCTTTTCCCCTCTCCTGTCCCCGTCAGATGGATAGTGGCTATAACACACAGACCTGTGGAAGCAATATTATGGATACGGTTGGAGCAGAAAGTTACTGCAAAGAAACTGATGCACATGCCTTGGAATTTGAGACCAAACTTCAGGTTTTTAATACAAAGGTATGAAAACAACAGAAAGCTTGATGTGGCTGTAGGTTATAAGTGTTCACTAAATGTGACTTCGTTCTTTTTCTTTCCATTTTGCTTAAAATTTTTTATAACTGTTGTACTTATACCTCATTCTTCAGGTCATTTAAGAGCAGGTGGTGATTCTTAAATGGCAACACTGTGTCTTCCTAACTCTTCTGCTACGACAGTAAAAGAAGAGGTCGGAGAGGGAGTTAGTCCTGCTTTGGAATTGGTACTTGAAGCCAGTTCCCTAAAACTAAAAGGGAATGGGAAGTAGGGGTGCTGAAGAGGAGGAGAGTCAGGGTTTTGCCACAGTGTTGTTTCAAAGCTACACATACAGAATTCTGATTAACACATCAAATTAAGAACACTATAGTAAGGGCTCTTGAAATCCAAAAGCCTTTATACATTTTTAGATGCTGAATGAGAATGCATACCTTATACAGTATTTATAATTTATACAAAATATATTGTTAAAGACATTTACTGAACCTTCTAGGTAGAAAGGTTATAACTGTATGTTCACCTTTGAAGAAACCCATGAAAATTTTAGGTACTAACAAGAGAATCTTTTTAAAATATTTTTTTAAGATTTTCTTTTTAGGGAGAGGGAAAGAGAGGCAGAGAGGGAGAAACATCGATCAGCTGCCTCTCACACACCCCAGCTGGAGACCTGGCCTGCAACCCCGGCATGTCTTCTGACCAGGAATTGAACCAGCGACCTTTAGTTTTATGGGATGACGCTCAGGCAACTGAGCTGTGCCAGTCAGGGAAAACAGTCTTCAATTTTTCGCATGCCAATTTATTACTGAACACAGTAACTCTCAGCAAATGTGCTGCTGAACGTAACTTTCCAAAGGAGAGTAACATTTAATAGAGAGCCCACCTTATTTTCTTTCCCTTTCCCCCATTTTGTCATGAGATGGGGCCATAGCTGTCCATTTAAAAGATAGAGGGTTGATATTAAAAGATATATTTTGATACTAAATACTGATGAGTAAAAATCCCTATCCACTGCCCCTTTAGAATCTGCAATCAGGTTTTTAAAAGTTCTAACAGTTGCTTCCTCACATGGACCATTTAAACTGAACATAAGGTATTCTCCTCACAGCCAGGCCACACAGCCCAGAGGTGCTGGATGAACACGGTGAACGCGCGGTGCGGCAGCCCCCAGAGTTCCGCTCTCGGACCCCAGGACTACTGCTGAGTAGCCCCTCCCGTGGCTTTATGCACAGGATCAGTAATGTGACCGTGACTGGAGAGAAACTGCTTCCACTAACATGCTTCGCTTTTCTTTCCCTCCTCAATGTGAAAAATCAAGGGCTTAACTTAGTGACACAGGGGCAAAAGAAAAACACCTGGAACTTCCAACAAGTTGCTGATGTACAAGTTTATTTTCGGTCAATAAATACTTTTGTACTCACCTTGAGCGATGTTTTACAATAAAAGCTTGAGCGAAGACCCGGCGCCTGTCCTTACAGGGTCGGTGAGCTGCTCACCGGCCTTACAGAGAGCACTGCGTGTAGCAGTTCTGAGAACATGTGGAACTGTGAAAGTGCTGTTTTATTTTATGTAAAATTATGTGAATCTACAGATGAATTTAAATGTATAAACTGTGAAGGAAATCTGATTTAGATATAAAACAAATTTAATCAAAGAGGTAGGACAGAGGTGGCAGGTTCCCCAAAATTTTCATTCTGGGACTCTGTTTATTTCCATGTAGAAATCTTAGTTCCAGTGGTAACTGGCCTAGTGACTGTTTTAAAAACTGTAAATACTAGAAAAGGTTGTAGTAACAACACCTTTCCATTCTGTATTGTTTTTATCAGTGGGGTAGATGCGGGGTGCTCAGGGTGTGTCTCCATCCCTGGGATAAGGACAGCCTTCCCGGCTCAAGCCTGGCGGGGGCGAGGAGTGAGAACACGGCAGGGACAGGGTGACGGCGGGGCTCCCGGGGGGCTTCAGACTTGGGAGCGAATGGCTGGGCGGGACTTACATGCATGCTGGGAGTGGACTGGGAATTTAAGTGCTGGGGGTATTCTTTACCTTTGGAAAATGTAGTCATATTTACAAACCATTTTTTTTAAACTGTGTGACTCGTAAAGGAGTAATACTTCATATGCAGCCCTAGAGAATAAAGACATCCTATCGTTGTGTCCTTTTCATCATACTTTTTTTTTTGTACCTTGTAAGCTTATTGCTAATGTCTAAAAAATGTTTCTTACTGTGTAATTTGCTCCTCCTCTCCCCCAGCAAAATAACTTAAAACCATTAGCCACTAGGTCCATTGCTAAAGATTCTGCATCAGGAAGTTGAATCCTTAAGCACACAGCCTTTACAATCAATGTAAGTTAAAGACTATTGCTACACATAACAGTCCTGGGTTCCAGAAGGAGGAGCTTCCCTGGCTATGTGTGTGTGTGCGTGTTTCATAGCACAAGTAGAAACAAACTACTGACTGTAACTTGGAGTCTAACACCACCTGTTACTGAACTGCTTGATCTGGGCCATGAAAGCCTCAAATCTTCTCATCTATTAAATGGGGAGAAGAGTCCTACCCAACAGAGCTTTTTAAGTGAAATATTTCATGTAAAATTACTCAGTAGGAACTAATGTCTGTATTAGACCTTCCTCATAAATAAGGCACAGGTTGTCGACAGACTGCCTGCCCTGCCGCAGAGCCTTACACGTCTGGCCCTTTACAAAAAGGCTTGTTGACTCCTACTCTTGTCTCAGTCCATTACTTGGACCCAAGACAACTCAAAGCTATCTTTCCATCAAATGAAACAGTTGCTTCCTCAGCGTATGGATGTTTTCCTCAGTAACAGCAAACAGGAACATCATTCAACATGACTGAGCGCCTGAAGCACGCACTGCAATTATTCCCACCAACACACCCCTGCCGTTTGCTTCCCTTCCTTGTGCCACAAACTCCTTCCAGGCAAAGGCAGTTTACCTGCCTGGTGATAAACCTGGTACCCCATCGGTACTTTAGAGATTATATAAGCAAAGTAAAATGTTTTAAGGTAACTATCTCACAGTATTGTGGAAAACAAACTTAATGATTACTACTTGTTGGAGTTAACACGGGAAGATACTTCAGTGTGCTCCCTTGAGTATGTACTTAATATGCACTTACACCATCCGCCGTTTCCTACATAATCTGACACATACACAGTTTAAACCATCCACTACCTGCCTTTTGCTTTCTAAATAACATTCGATGTGACGTTTAAAGTACCATCCATTCTTTCTTTGAATCCTAATGCCCTTCTTTGACGGAGGTGTTTAGGTGAAGGTCAAGGATGATGATCACACTTATTACCTGGTGTAAAACAACTATTTTTTCAATCAGATCAAAATACCCTACATCTTGCCTTCCTATGACATTCAATTCCCAAATGCTTGACAGCTGTTCAAGGATCATTAAAAAACTGCAGGAGGCTTCGTAACAGAAAGAGCACATATGTAAGCTAGCTAAATTAAAAATAGCAATGATTACTGAATTCCCTGACAGATCTTAATTGTCTTGAAATCTAAAAACTGCCACACCAAACACAGCTTTCGAAATTTAGAAATGACAGATTGTTCCTTGCTTCTAAAAATGTTTTATTTTTCTCCATAGGAAAATGGTAGTTTTTCTACCAATATTAAATAATCAAATTACTTATGTAAGTTAATCTCTTCATTGAGCAGATGAGCAGATGAATGCCTTCTCTAAATGATCTATACAGATCCCTGAATTGCCATCCTGTCACTACTTAAGTGATGGATATTGGACTGAATTTGTCTGCATAAACAGTTCTGTTCAATCCAGAAGTCAAGTAGTATGATGGGACAGACACAGTCAACAGTTCAATAAAAATGCAAATTTTTAAGCACAGAGTCCCAAACAAGATGGATGCAAAGAGGCCACTCCAAGACACATCATAATTAAAATGCCAAAGGTTAAAGATAAAGATAAAGAGAGAATCTTAAAAGCACCCAAAGAGAAGAAGTTAGTTACCTACAGGGGAATTGCTAAGACTGTCAGATGATTTCTCAAAAGAAACTGCAGGCTAGAAGGGACTGGCAAGAAATACTCAAAGACATGAAAAGTATGGACCTACAGTCGAGAGTGCTCTACCCAGCAAAGATAACAATTAGAATTGAAGGGCGGATAAAGAGCTTCCCAGATAAAAAACTAAAGGAGTTCATCATCACCAAACCATTATATGAAAAAGGGACTCATTTAAGAAAAAGATCAAAACTATGAACAACAGAATGGCAAGAAATACAAATCTATCAACAATTGAATCTAAAAACAAGAACAGAGACAGAACCATGAATACAGAGAGTGTTTTGATGGTTGCCTGATGGGAGGGGGTGTGGGGAATGGGTGAGGAGGTGAGAGAGTTAAGTACAAACAGGTAGTTGCAGAATGGCCATGGGGATGTAAAGCACAGTGTAGGAAACGGAGTAGCCGAAGAATTTATAGACATGACTCATGTACATGAATAACGTTGGGGGGATGCCTGAGGGAGTGGGCGGTACTGGGCGGAGGGTGGCAAAAGGAAAAATTGGGACAACTGTAATAGTATAATCCATAAAATATAATAAATTTTAAAAATGCAATTTTTTAAATTATCAAAATGTACTTAATAAAGTAATAAACTTTCACACACTTCTTAAGTTTAAAAATGTCCTCTCAAGCTTTCTTTGTTTTTTTTTTTTAAGGACACCAACCCTTTATGCTTTTCTGTCCAGTGTAGCTATTTTTCAAGCTTCTTCTTCTTCTTCTCTGGTTCATTAATGTCCATGTTTGAAGTATCATTAGGAATACTTATACCTGGTATCTAAAGTAATGCAAATGGAAAAAAATTTAAGTGAGTTAAAGCATAAAATAAAGCTTAAATCTCATTCTCATCTCCCCCTTCCCCACTGATACTTTCAATTTGAAAAGGATGTAGCAGTAGAGGGGGAAAATGGGGTTAGAAAAGGTTTTCCACACAATGTATTCCACACACAAAGTACCAGTGGTGCAGAAGTGTCAGACCTGATCTCAGCAGGTAAGAAACAGGTCATTTGGGAAGTGTATTTAACACGTCTGTGCACCCCAGCTGAACCACTGTGACTATCGGCATCAGAGGCCTCAGGCAAAACAAAGGTTAAGAACCGATGTCTCCATCTTCATCTTCAAAAGTGCAACTTTCAAAACCGGTAAAAGTGACAAAAGTCTAGGGGAGAGATTTCAAAGAGCTCTGCTTTTCGTACTGATGACCTCAGAAGAAGCCTAAGTAACTAGGATCCCTCTATGGCCACAGCACCCTGAACGCGCCCAATCTCATCTAAGTAACTAGGATCCTATGGCCTAGGGAGATCAGTGAGAAAATAGGAATTGCTAGGCAAATATTTGTCCTTCCCACTACTTACAGAATTTCCACTATCACTAAGCAGAAATAACTTCTGAATATATCAGCCTTTCACAAACACATTCCATTACAATGCAGAAAGTGTAAGCTGGTCTTACCCATGGTTCCACCAGGGACATTCGAATTTTCTGATGCTGAAGATTAGATGAATCCAACATGATTTTCACTTTAACTTTATCGAATATATGAAACACTGTGTCTTCTATTTTAAGTGACGGTTTCTAAACAAAAGACATTTTACAATTGAGGGTTTGTTCTAATTCTTTATAGTTTACCTTTCATATAAACTTAAAAGCTTAAACTTAAAAATTACTTGCATATTTAATAAGTACATCTAAGTGTTCTATGTAACCAAAGTCACTAATCTAGTAACCTCACATAAATATAAGCTACCATACTTCCTCCTTTCATTAAGATGATCCAGAAATATATTCACTACCCAAGATGCTTACCAGCAAATTGTTGGCCTAGAAGAGAAACCCAACACCAAGCTACTGCGGGCAATTTACTGTCATGTAGTTCCACTAAGGTTAGGCAAGTAGGGGGTGCGCCAGAGAACAGACACTGGAAACAGGTTAGAAAATTCCTTTCCCTGAGCTCAGAGCAGTCACTTATGTCTTTTATTTTAATCCATCTCTCCACCTAGGGCAATGTGTTAAGTTTGCTTAGCAGGGCAAACTTTACTTAGTATGAAAGAAATCAGTCAACACGTGACTGTGGGAAGCTACACTGAGGTGAGGAACTGAGTGTAATGGTTAAACTAGTCAGAACAAGTCTGTAGAGTACAAAAAACAATTTCACCCTTTTTAAGTTTTTGTAACCTATCAAAGAAAACGCACCCCTCCCCCATCAAAGGAAAACAAAAATAAAAACAGTGGAAATACTATACCTCATCATCATAAATAAGCCGTGGCTTTGGTTTGTCCTTTTCTTCAAAAAAAACTGTGCCTTCTAAACCATATTTTGGAATTAATACCACGATAGCATTTTTTTTCACAAAGAGAATATAGGCTTCTTCACTTACTATTCCTTTGCTTTTGAAAAATAACTGTAAAATAACATACCTTATTAAAAATCATCTTAAATATTTTGAAATTAACAAAAATGTTTTTGAAATTAAATTTAAAAATGAAAACTTCCCCCCTCTTAGTATTATCAATAGAAGGCAAATACCTGGGTGTGAAAAGCCACTGATGCGCGCTGGGCATACTGAGCCATTTTGTGCCGGAAGTTCAGGTTCTTGCAGATATCTGCAAGCTTGTGTTTGTCTGTCAACTCTGGGTAAGTACAGTCGGCCCCGATAGCCACAGCCAACAACCGGTGAACGATGATGTCTGCATATCTACTCACAGATAAGAATCATGCCACGTTAGTATTCAAATGTCTTTCTAAAATTCAAAAGGAACCACCTTCTATTTTTTTTAATTTGAAAAGGAAAAAGTACCTTCTGATGGGAGAAGTGAAATGTGTGTATATGGGGGACGCTAAGCCATAGTGATGAAAATCATTATCCATCCCAGAGCAGAAGTACACAGCTTGCATCATGCAGCGAGTGGCCAGTATTCTTAACAGAGTGTTCAGATACGGGAATGTAGGAGACTCAGCCCGATCCAAAGAGTCAGCCAAGGACTTGGCTGTATCAGTTTTAATTTCTAAATTCTGTGAACAAAGAGGGAAAGAGCATTGTATTTTAAAATCCGTACCATCGTGTATTCAAAATATAACTAATCAGACTGGCCAGATAGTGCTTGTACCTTTTACCTTTCACCTAGGAAACTAAAGATGAATGTATAGAAAGCAACAACTGCCCTGTGCAACTCAAAGCTTACCTTGTTTCAAAGTGCATTTAAAGGTACTGAAGTATCAACACCCTGAAGACAGGATGGTGGGAGCAGCAGTGCGGTTTCTCAAAGCCCAGTCTGTGCCTGCCTAATCTTTGTTGGGGCAGGAAAGAAAAATCAGAGCAGACCTGGATACCTGCCAGTATGTCTGGATTTTCTCTGCAGACGTTTTCCTTCCATTCAAAATAGAAGTAAAAGCCACAGACAAAATAAAACTGAACTGGTCAACACCCCTCCATCAGGTATGATACATCAAACTTGGCTGTTTTATTCTACTTTGGGAGATGAGGCAAACTTACTTAAGTCCTCCTTCTCCTCTCGATCTTAGAAAGAAGACAAGAGAAAATCCCCCAATTTATGGCATAAGCCTCAGAGCAGAAGAGACGCTGATTCTCTTCTGATGGATATGATAGCAATAAGCCCACCAGAAAGTTCTGATAACAAAAACCAGTGTCATCCTGGAAGAATAATGTCCTGAGACAAAAACAACCCCTCCAGCTCTATTCTGGACAGGAAAGATGGGACCTGGACAACTGATGCACAGAAAACCAAGAGAAGCCATAGTTGCCCCAAGGGTAAGGGTATTTATACCTAAATGAAAATCTGCTAACCAGAGGCAAGGGCTCTATGGAACTGAGGAAATAGTGCCCTTTCTGTATATTTTGTTTTTTGTAGGTGTGCAATAAATGGACTTCCTTCTTAGGGACATGACAGAAATGGGGCTTAACTGAGTTAAAGAGAAAAAATTATTTGTAACTTTCTGAAGTTCAGCAGTTCAGAGGCAGTGTGAAGGAGCAGGCAGAGAGAACAGGTGTAAAGGCAGAGAGATACACAAGGGCTTATTATGTTCGGGATATCGCAAATATGATCAGGATATTGCAAATAACAAGTCTGTACAAATGTATAAAATTAACATTGTACACATTAAATGTACACGTTATATGTGAAAGATATTTCGATAATAAAAACTAAGAACTACTGGCATATTTTTGCATCAAGAAATAAGAATTATTTTTATGCAGATGTAATATACATCATTCACTGTCCCAAGATGGAGGTATAGGTAGATATACCACACTTTCTTGCACAACCAAAAGAAAGATAACTGCCAATTTAAAAACAAAAAACAACCAGCACTGCCAGAAAATTATTCTGTATAGAAGTCCGACAACTGAGGAGTTAAAGAAGAAACCTTCATCAACAGTTGTATGCTGAGACAAAGAAATATTCCCCAAATGAAAGAACAAATTAAAACTCCAGAAAAAGAACTAAGTGATGAGGAGACAGACAACCTACCAAATGCACGAAGAGTTCAAAACACTGGCAAATCAGGATGCTCGCAAAAATGACTAAGGACAGCTGCAACATAAGGGAAGAAATGGAGGCTATGCAAAGTGAAATAAAGGAAAATATACAGGGAACGGACAGTAAAGGGAAGCAAACTGGGACTCAAATCAATGATTTGGAACAAAAGAAAGAAACATCCAACTGGAACAAAATGAAGAAAAGAGAATTCAAAAAATGAGAGGCTGAGGAACCTCTGGGACAACTGTAAATGTTCCAACATCCGAATCATAAGGAGGAGAGGAAGAGCAAGAAATTGAAAGCTTACGTGAACAAATAATGAAGAAAAACTTCCCCAGTCTGGTGAAGGAATAAACATGCAAGTCCAAGATGCTCAGAGAGTCCCAAAGAAATTGGATTCAAGAAAAAACACACCAAGACACATCATAATTAAATTATCCAAGATTAAAGATAAAGAAAGAATCTTAAAAGCAGCAAAAGAAAAGGAGACAGTTACCTACAAAGGAGTGGCCATCAGACTGTCAGCTGATTTCTAAAAAGAGACCTTTCAGGCAAGAAGCGGCTGGAAAGAAGTATTCAAAGTCATGAAAGGCAAGGACCTACATCCAAGATTACTCCATCCAGCAAAGCTACTATTGAGAATAGAAGGGCAGACAAAATGCTTCCCAGATAAGGTAAAGTTAAAGAAGTTCATCATCACCAAGCCCTTATTATTTGAAGAGTTAAAGGACTTATCTATGAAAAAGATCTAAAACTATGAACAGTAAAATAATAACAAACTCACAACTATCAATAACTAAACCTAAAAAATAAAAACAAAAACTAAACAAATAACTAGAACAGGAACAGAACCACAGAAATAGAGATCCCATGGAGGGTTATCAGTGGGGAGGAGGGAGTGGGGAGAATGGGGAAAAGGTTCAGGGAATAAGAAGTAATAATTGGTAGGTACAAAATAGGGGAAAGTTAAGAACAGTATAGAAAACAGAGAAGCCAAAGAACTCATATATAGAACCCACGGACATGAACTAAGCAGGTGGGGAAATGATGGAGGGAGGGGGTGCAGGGGAGAGGGGAAGAAAGGGGAAAAAAAGTAGGACAACCATCCCTGGATGATGTAACTCAGTGGATTGAGTGCCGGCCTGCGAACCAAAGGGTTGGTGATTCAATTACCAGTCAAGGCACATGCCGGCCTGCGAACCAAAGGGTTGGTGATTCAATTACCAGTCAAGGCACATGCCCGGGTTGTGGGCCACGCCCCCACTATGGAGAGTTTAAGAGGCAACCACACACTGATGTTTCTCTCCCAGTCTACCTCCCTTCCCCTCTCCAAAAACAAATAAAATCTTTTTTTAAAAAATGGGACAGATGTAATTGCATAATCAATAAAATGTACCAGAAAATAAATAAATAAATAAATAATATAGATTATTCAGTGCACTGGATAAATCACAATACAAATACAAAATAACTTTTCAATCTATAGAATCTTACCTTGGATTTAGCTGCCTTAACAAGAATTTCATAATTTGATGGAGGAGGAGCAGGATGTTTTCTAAGGAGAGCATGTTCAGAAAATTCTTCATGAATTTTTTTTGCGACAGAGATATTGGCAAGTAACATAAATTCTTCCACCATGGAATTTGTTTCTCTGTCAATGAAAAAAATCATTAAATTATATCATATTTATTTACAGGTTACCTTTTCTACATAGAAGATAATGGGAATATTTCCTACACAACATTCATATGTGTGCACATGTGTATTTTCCTAACTTAGGGAAATATACTAAGAGAACCTTCTTTCACTTCTCCCCTCTACTATGTCAACGATCCTTACTATGCATCTACTGTGTAAGCAAATCCCATGCTAGAGGAGACTTTACAAATTACATTTAAAAAATAGCTTTGCCAACTCTAAGTAATATATAAAATCTAAATCATAAACATTTTAACCCCTTTTCCCTAAGTCCAAATACAAATAGATTTTTATTGAAGTATAAATCCATAAAAATAAAGTTTACTAAGATAATTAAAAGTTTAAGTCGTACAAATTTTGGTTTAAAAATTTAAACTTTCACCAATAAATCGCCAAAATGAAGAGATGTTCTTTACAACAGCTACTCTGGGTGCCTGTTACAGGTCAGGCATTGCGCTCTAAGTGCTACACGTGACGCCGCACACGTAGCTACTCTCTTCTGCATATAAGCCTGAGTATCACTCTCTGCTCAAAGTCCAAGCTGTTAGTAGTACCATGATTCAGGTTCACATAACCTGACTTTGAAAGCCTTAAGCAATGTGATACTGCTTTTCAATCTAAGGAGTTCATCTATGGCTTTAAATTTTCGTTTAATAAATCATTTGCCTTTTGTTTACATAGAACTTTCTTTCTCCCAAGTCACTGAACATGCATTATTTATCATTCTTTCCTATTTCCATTTTAAATAACTTCTAATACCATCTTGATGAGATTGCTAAAGTATATTAATTTTTAAAATTATTAGTAAGACCTCCTATAATTTTAAAACTCATAGGGACATTTCTTAGGAATATCTTTCTCCTAATGGGTAGGAAGAAATGGGTGATGTTCTATTTTGGTAAAGTTGGATTCAACTTTTTCCTCAAAACAGCTCCTAGTGTTGGGCTCACTGTTCACACTAACACCAGACTTACTTGCACAGAAGTTCCTCCGCTCGCTAAGCTATTTTTTAATTTTAGTTTGAATGCTACTGAGCACTTACTGGTCCAAACTAACAAACTTAGGTATATTCTCATTTTTAATTCTAAGTCATCTACTAAGAAAAGTATAAATGCAAACTAATTTCAGTTACCTTCTCTAACAGGCACGGAAAAGAGGCCTCTGGTTAACCAAAAATTTCCCTGCTTCCTAAATCAATAAATCAGCTGAAGTAACAACAGTACAACATGTGAGTACTCTTCACAGCGCCCTATGAGGTAGGTACCACTATCAGTCACAAATAAACTGAGGCATCACTTTTCCAGAGTTGCACAGACTGTACTGGAACCCAGACCCAGGCTCCAAAGCTCTGTGGCTCCAAAGCCCTGTGCCCACTCTTCCATCCTACCACAGCAATTCCACATGAGACACTGAAGGAATTAACCAGGCAATCTTCTTTCACTTACCATCACCATCCCTAGTCAAGTTCTAGTACACCACATACATCAAGACGTACCAATTCAAATTGGAAATTTTTCTATTGTAATACTAATCCCAGTTTTATGTAGGAAAAACCGAACATTGAGATACTCACTTTTCTATACATTTCAGAAGTAAAAAAAAAAATTACAGAAATCATAACCCTAGAAATAGATATTTCAGGTATAATGTTTTGTTTACCAACAAACCAGATAGTACATTTAAAATCAAATCTTATCTAGTGCCCATCAAAAAAATTGCAAACCTAAGCTCCTTGGTCTGCAGATCTATAGGATCATGAGTTTCACTGTCCATATGAAAGCGAACTTCCGGAGAAGAAAGAGTCAAAGCCCTAAATTTAAAAAAAAAAAAAGGCGGTGAATTACTCAAGTAAGCCAATAACAGACATAATTCTGAAGTGATTTTTTAAAACAGGAAATGATTATAGCAAGTATGGGACAGTTATTCTTCTGAAGGCTCTATGGCCTCTGTTAAGTGTTACAGATCTAAACTGCACTTAATGAGAGAGCACGAGAACACCACAAACAGAAAGAGTCCTTGTGCTTCTGCGGGTCCGAACACCTTCTGTTGTGAAGCTATGAGATTTTACTGTTACGTGGGTTTTTAATCACACTGACTGATAAAGAAGGTTACTGACAGAATATTATTTGCCATGGAAAATCGTGTATTAGGGTGAGGGATGATGGAGAGAGGAAAAAGGAAGCTACTGTGGGTAGATCACTGACATAAGATCCACAGTTCAAAAGTATCTTCCATATAAACTCAACCAATAGAGAAGAGACTGATAAACTACAACTACTAATATGTTACAAATGCTGATGACTATTAATATTTGAGTGCTGCAGATCAGATAACATACTATGCTAAGTGTTTTACACACATGGTTCATTTAATGACCTAGCAACTCCCTTGAAAAGTAAATGCCTACAAGGCAAGGTAAGTTTAATTTAATTTCTTTAAACCTTGGTGCTATTTTAATCAGGTTTGCTAAAATCAACCTAAAACTTTTAATTTTGGTGAGGATGGGCAACCTTGTACAATCATAGAAAAGGGAAAAATAACATGAGATGAGGCAAGTTAAGTTCTTCTTTAACTCCTCGCCTTTCTTAGGGAGCTACAAAAGGAATACTAGCAAGGAAATCTCAACAAATATTCCTTTCTTGCCCTGCTGTATTTACAAGGTTCTACATCAGGTCTATTATGTGTTTATTAATATATTTTGACTTAAAAGCAAAGTATACTAATCACATTTTGATCATGTTTCTTCATAGGCCACTATCCATGACAAAAACATTTATCCTTTAACATAGATAATTAAAGGCTATTTTTTGAACTTAAAAAATATATATTTTCTATTCATATTATGAGAAGGTAATTTACAAATGCAAGCTTACATCTTTTTTAAAACCATAAAATGAATATAGTTTCAACTGTTTTACTTGGTTTCATTTCAAAACAAATTTTCTAAAAATTATCTTAACACACACTTTCTTCTGATACCTGGCATAGTGCAAACCTTCAATAAACAAATATTTGCTGAATGATGTTTCATTTCGTGTCATAAAAATTCAATTATAGCCCTCTTCTTTATACCTAAAAGCTTGAGCAATAATTTCATTTGGTTTTACTGCATTCAAATTATCCTTATCTGGATAATTAAACTTATCCAAGTTTCTTATTTAGAATCATATGAAAAATTCCCAGGAAACTGAGCTGTGAACAGAGATAGTAATGGCTCTGCAAAACTACCTAGACCAACACTGTCCAATGAATGGTACTTTCTGCAGAAATGAAAATGTTCTCTATCCACACTTCCCAATATGGTGGTGATGTCCACATGTGGTTACTGAGCACTTGAAATATGGCTAGTGCAACTCAGAAACTGAATTTTTCATTTAAATTTAAATAGGCACATCTTATGAATGAGCGTGGACGCAACAGTTTGCATTCCCCAACAAAAACATTGTTAATAACAGCCTGTGACCCTACCCTGGATGGGCATGGGGACCCAGACACCAACATCTAAAATCTTTTTTTCATATATCAAAACAGCAGTAAACTTCGAAGGAATTTATTTGTGATTTCCTATATATATTTAGCTGGGAAATACAAGACTGTAAATGTATTAAGAGACAATCTACTTGCTTTACTCTGATAGTTGATGATGTCTTTGAAGAGTCACATTTCTTTTAACTGCTTCAACAAGTGTGGGTACTTGGGCACTCCTTATCTTCTACCTTTTGTAGTTCAGCAAGTGCCGTGATATGATAGCAAAAAGTGACTCTGCCACTAGCTATCAGATCTTTGGGAAGACTACTTCTAAATAACTTCTAATCATTAAAAAATTAAAGGTGTATTATTTTAAAAAATAAAGGTGTTGGATTAAACAATCTCTTAAATCTCTTGCAACTCTATAAAGTGCAGTAACAACTTCCCTTACATTTATTTAAACTGAAAAATCAGTGTTCAATATGGAAACTTATTTCTAATTAAAATTAAAAACAATCCACAGAAGAGCCCAGAGGAGGTCTTGCCTTCTTAGAATTTCTTCAAGATTTTTACCTCAAACATGAGTTTTTAGGACAACAAATTAAAGGACAGAAGCCCTAAACAAACCTCAGTCCAGAATCAAGTCGCTAACACTGAAAAGGCAGCTAGGGGTACAGTGTCTTCACGTGAGTCTTTACTCAGTCTATTAAATAATTTATCATTGTCCATGATAAAACACTTTAAAGAGTTCACAAGTTATCTTAATGCCAAAATAAATGAATTAAGAAATATCTTAATAAATATTTTTGAAATGTACCCTTTTTCAATTCTTCCTTTTTTCAAAATTTTAGCTAGTTTATTTAGTCCACGGAGACTGATGGTAATATCATCATTCATGGCTGCCGAATCAATTCTCATCTGAGCTTCAGCATACGTAAGAGAAGCCTGAAGAAGAAACCGGATGTTAGTACCAGCTTACAAATGATAAAAACTGGTCTTCTTTGGTCTTCTTAAGTATATAGACTTTCTAGGTTTCTGAATACAGGACAATGGCTACATAAACTCAGTTATAAATAACATCAAGAATTAAGCAGGGCCCTGGCTGGTGTAGCTCAGTGGATTGAGCACGGGCCTGCAAACCAAAAGATCGTGGTTCAATTCCCCGTCAGGGCACATGCCTGGGGTGCAGGCCAGTTCCCAGCAGGGGATGCACAAGAAGCAACCATACATTGATATATATCTCTCCCTCTCTCATTCCCTTCCCTTCTAAAGATAAATTTTAAAATTAAAAAAAAAAAGAATTAAGCAGATACCTGCAAAAATCTAGATTTTGTTGCAACAATGGGAAAAATAATCCATAGGATAATAAGCCTAAACCTTTTCAAAACATTCTAGAATACTGTTAAAAGTATCAAAGATTTTAAACATTAAATGTTAGCCATGAAACTAACCTTTGAATTAATGACACTTTTTGTAAACCTTGTTTTTAAGATTTCTGCATTGTGATTCATTTCCCAAATACATGAAAACGCCAGCCTGTGTAAAAAAACAGACGGTATTTGTTAACGGGAATCAGTTAAAGCAGTAACCACTGTGGTCTTAGGAAAAAACATGCATAAATACCTGTCAACGTTACACCTTAAGGAACATAGGTTGGAGCTAAGCAACTCTGGAACCATGTCGATCCTCTGCAACAGATAAAACAGAGCCGCAGATGACTTAGCTACATCTGTACACTTGTTTATTTGAGATTGTATTCTCACACAGCATTTAACAAGGAAAAAAGAAATGTCCTGCTCTTTGTGAACAGAACTGAGAAAACACAAAATAAAAACTCTATTTCTAGAAAGCGTTACACAATATTAAACCCAAGGGAAGCAATGAAAGAAAACTGGACTTCACGTCAGGGAGCTTCAGTCTCAGGGTTCAGGCCTCTGCACTAACCACCAGCTTGTCCTCTCAAAGTCCCCTCTGGAGTCTGGACACTGGGATCGAACTAGATGACTGACACAGGCCCTGCCACCTCTATGAAGGGACATTTTCCCAAGGCTTAACACAAACTATATGGTGTTTTTTTGTGTTTTTTTTTAATTGTTTGGTTTTTTTTAAAAGATTTTATTTATTTATCTTTAGAGGGGAAGGGAAGGAGAGAGGGAGAGAAACATCAATGTATGGTTGCCTTTCGTGCATCCCCTGCTGGGAACTGGCCTGCAGGGAACCAGCCTGCAACCCAGGCATGTGCCCTGACTGGGAATCGAACCTCGATTGTCTCGTTCGCAGGCCCGCACTCAATCCACTGAGCTACATCAGCCAGGGCTATATGGTGTTTTTAAAATACTAAAATAGACACTAAATTTTTATGGCAAAAAGGTACCCAGAACTTTGACAATGAACTCATGACAGACTAAGCTTAACTTTTTCCTCTACTTGAACAATTTTTCTCTGTAACTTTATGGGACCACACTCAATGAAGAATAAACAGTAAACTGTGACAGAATAATCTCATGACTTAGAAAAGGAAAGAAACAAAATACATTTTCATTAGTTACCCATAAATGGTAAGTTAGATGCTACACAACAAATTATATCAGCTACATCTCTTGGGCCACTCAGTATCAAAGAACAATGCATACTGATTTACGGTCACCTCATTCTATATATTAGTCTTTTAGCTGATTCATGTACTATTTCAAACTCTGACTAATTAAGCATTCATTCACAAGTCCCATGGTCTGTATGAACTAACAGTACAATTAACATAATAGCCTTTCATCAAATTTCACTAAACCTTGAGGCTGTCTTTTCCTCAGGAAATACCTCAGATGATTTTATTATTAAGAATAAAACAAATGATGAAAAAGTTGCAAGCATGTATCATAATTCCATTTTAAATTTAACACATTTACCTTTTCACAAAGATACACAGTTGTTCCCCTTCTGGCTGACTCTTGATCCAAAGCATTTCCCGGCCTAATAAAATGGCTAACATCAGCAATATGAACACCGACCTTAAAAAGATAAAAATGAAAAGATGTCGACATGCCTAATTGAATAAATAGAGTGTTAATAAGAAGAAATTCGGCAAAATGGAAAACAGACTCGGTCACAAATCACCAGCTCAGTTTTTGACACAAGCCCATTAGCCTGCAGCTAGGACTTCTTCCCCCAGACAACCCACAAATACATCCTACAGTGGGTGAAAAAAGAAAATGAACTCAAGAACAACACTGTATTTGGATACAGAACGCAATTACAAAATGAATACCTCCAAATTCCCATTTTCGAGTTCCCGACAATGCAGAGCATCATCTATATCTGTGCATCCCGGGGGGTCCACGCTACAAACACAGAGATGTCTCAGGTCTTCTCGGTTTCTCATGTCCTAGAAGATGCCACATGATTAAGAGAGAAAAAACTGCTTTGGCAGGACAAGTGAAGCACAGACCTAATGAAATCAACAATACATTTAAAACAAAGAAAACTTGTCTTATTTCTAAATGATAACTAGACATCATCACTTGCAACTTGTGGTCTCCTTGCTTTTGAAAAATTTGACATAATCTAGGGTTGGTCTTCTTGAAAAAACCATCTGTCAGTAAAGCAAGTGGTTTCTCCAACACCTAAGAGTTCTGTACTTAACTAAATGTGGGGCAGGAAGGGGACTATGGTTTCTACATATTTAAAAACACACAGAGAATTCAAGCAAAATTAAATCAGATGCAGTACTTCATAAAGTCACAAATTCTTTCGAACTTACCAGTTCAGTAATGCTCCAGGGCATCTTTGGTAGAAAGCTGAGAACTGCCTGTGAAAAAGGCTGATGGGGAACATCGTGTTCCAGCAACAAAACCTCTGTTTCAGTCTCTTTCTCTCCAACTTCACCTAAATTTTTCACAAAGTGTCCCTAAAACCAAAAATTATTATTGGAGAGGTGGATTTTATAGTTGTTAGTGGGTAATTTATATCTTATTACCACATTAAGTTCTTTGAGCATTTATATATAACCTTAGTATATCTAAATGTACCTGTAAATCCTTCTTAGAAATGATCCCTTGATAAATTAAAGCTGATTTTTCACTGTAAACACTTGAAAATGAGAATTTTCAAGTGTTTATAATGAAGACTTAGCAAAGGCCTAGTTCTTATATAACCAAGCATCTTATATTTCTTATTATCGTTCAAGTTCAGAATGTGCTTCAAATATAGTCATTTCAAAATGTTGATTAGCATCTAGTTAGGTCTTAAACCCCATCTTTGTAGTCATTATCAATAAAAGTTATTTGTTTGAAAATCTGAGTAAAATTAACCAAATGACTCATGATATTTCATAAGATTAACTTTAGAATTGGATGCACTACTTATTAGGTAACTGTGAAATATTCCTAAATTTCAGTATGAATTCTATACATAAGCAGATTCTAGTTCCACTAAGAGAAGCAATTTTATTCCCAAATTTTCAATGAAATGCTCTAAAACAAAATGACTAATTCAAACTTACATTTGGGTATCTGGAATTTCTGGGCCATCCATCAATAGCAACGATAATTCTCCGTCCTTCCAATGCTGAAGCCTGTCTGGTTTCTATCCGAATTCGAGGAATTCTCCTGTCAGCAGGTGTAAAGAGATGTCTTCTTGACTAAAGAAAATGAGCAAAAAATATTTCAAAGACACACAAAAACTGGGATAAAGGCAAGGGAAGAGCTGTCCTATTAAACGGTATCATTTTTTCATCACACAGCAACATGCTCTCTACTCACCTCCTTAATGTCAGACTTGGAAAGCATGCCACAGTACGGTCTCCAATTCCTCTTTATTATTCCTACAACTCTACCTGTAGGCTTTAACATTTTTTCACTTACAGCAGCCCTAAGCTGAGATTTAAAAATAAAAATCTTCAGTTATTTTTCCTCAAAGTATAATGACACAATTTCCCTTCATAATTAGAATTAGAATATGGACAACTAATATTTTCAGGCACTAAATTATGACATAAAAGTACAGAATCTTGATGTTTCGGAATTCTAGGCAAGAACATGTAAAAACAAACCATGGAGTTTTTCCATAATGTAACAGATTACAAAAACTCATAATTGAAAAAATAAATATAACCAAGTAAATATCTCAGAATTCAACTCTTTCCAGTTTTAATGTGGGGATTTACTAACACATATATAGGTATTCAAAAAAAGGGTATTTCTTATTAGACGTAACAGAAGGATCTTAAGGTATTTCACAGCCAACACTCTTCTATGGCCTAGAGTCTACATAGGTAGGGCCATAGTAAGGGTCCAGAGCACTGCATTAAAATTCATGGGAAAAAAGTGCTAATATTGGGTGAATAATTACATTATTCATGTAATTCTAAGGTAAGGAAATGAATAAGCCATATTAGGTAGACTTTTGCTCCTAAAAAACATTGGAAAGTATTTTCTTCATAATAAATATGGTACTAGAGAAGGAATTATTAAACAGACCCAAATATAAGGGCCCAAAAGGACATCTACTATGCCAAGAAAATTTTAAATGTTATGTAAAAACATTTCAGCAAATTTTAATTTATATTTACTTAAAACTCACTAATTCGGACAGATCACATTCTGAATGTCACACAGTTCAAGTTTCATAATCAAGTCTTTTTTTATTTATACCCATTTATTTGAGCAAAATAAGACATAAATTCAGAATGCTACTTAAATACTTAGAAAAACGTCAACTGTGTAGAAATAAGAGGGGGGACCCAGAAAAACAAATTTATAAAAACCTGTGTATTTACTCTTACACGCGTAAACTTCAGTCACCTTCGCAGTACTCTCCATTTGATGCAGTACACCTATTGAGACTTTTCCCCACTACTTAGTACAGGTTTTGAACTTGTCAATTTTGGTGCCTTTTAGTGCTTGTGTTTTTTGTTTCTCCTCTTACACACTGGCAAACCGGTTCTCTTTGAGGACATTTTTCATCCAGGGAAACAAAAAAAGTTGCGAGATCGGATGAAGAAGGAGGGTGGGGCACTGGGGTCCTGCCATTTTGGGTCAAAAGCTGCTGAACATCCAGTGCAGTGTGGGCAGGTGCACCCGTAAATCACCCATCACGAAACGGGCAAATGCACTGAAAGGCTCTTCAAAAACTTTCAGTGAGGCCGAACGCAGTCTCTCACGACAACACCAGCTGACGCTGATGCGGATAGGTTTCCGGAACACTCACCTAGCGGTGAGTACTACAGGGGGAACACCCTCCAGAAGCCAGGCCCAGGTTTTTTTGTGTCCCCCCTCGTATAATTTTGTTCAATAAATCTGAAAGCAATAAAGCTTCTTTAATTTTCTCCAAAGCTAACATATTGATTACACAAAAGGGCACAGACAAAAATTAAAACTTGCTTGGTTTCATACAATGAGTTCTCTTTCCTCTTCTTTCTCCACGTCATCTTCATTTTGACCTTCATCATGTAAAACCACAGAAGATGGTGCTACCCACTGATTCTTGGGGAGAAGCTCCACAGCCACGATGTCTTCATGAATAGCTCGGTTTAAATTTTTAAGTCCTTGTAAGATTATCTGTGTAAAACAGTAAATGGCATGTGTCCAAATATTTTTAATCACAATAATGGGAAGGTTACTTAATATATATTAAGGTTTAATACATTGTGAATGTCTCCATGTATCTCTAGTTCTCCTCCTTTACATTTTTCTTCCTTAGAGTGTCCTCTTACTTCACCCTCTTAATTTCTCAATATTAAGTAGAAAAAACATGATCAGAAAATATGCGTTTGTGTTCAGAAATCTGCCATAACTCTTACATTACAACCAGGAGACCTTGGAAAAATTTCTTAACCTCTCTAAACTTCAAGGTCCTGAAGGCAATAATACAAAAAGAGCAGCTAGTTTATAGGCTAGATTGAAGATTGAGATGCGGCACGCAAAGCAGTTAGAAGAGTACCTGGCAAACAGTAAGCATCCCTAAATAACCGCTGTGCACTGTAAAGTGTGTGAAGACCTCTGGAGCAACTAACGCTATGTGATTAGTACTGCTCGTAACTGGTCATGATATAAAAAAAGAGGCATTCTGTTTATCATTATTTGATTAATAGTTAAAAGTAGGTCAATAGAAAGTTCTTTTCTCCTGTAAGCAGTTTTCTTTTTTTTTTTTAATTTTTATTTACTTCTTTTTCAAGTACAGTTTTCTTAAAAAAGTGATTAATTCTAGTATCTATACACATCCCACATGGCTGCCTTCAAGCAGATAAACTGGCGCACAATGCAAACTTAAATTCTCCTACAAAACTTTAAATACTTGCAAAAGAAAATAATGAACAGAAAGTGTTTTTCTGTATACGGAATACATTCACACACTTGCCTCTTTATTTTCTTCGGCATCTCCGTGAACCCATACTGTAGCTTCTAAGTAGTTTTCCCTGCTGGCTCTGTATGTCCCTTGAAGGTATGTACCGGATTTTATGCCTTGTTGCAGCTTACTTAAGGGAAGATGCTCTGAAAATATTACTTTCCCACTTTCTATTTCGTTCTGAGAAATTAACCAAAGATACAGTTAGTATGTAAGTTTTCTGCAAACCAGTATATAACTATTATCACTATCAATTTCTTTTAAAAACCTTCCACATCATGGTATGTGCAACTCCATTAATGAGAGAATATAGCACAATGAGGAAAAAATGCTTTCTACTCCTGGGACAACTAACACAAATATTTCCATTTCATTACATTTAGGGGGTTAGCCACAGATGGTTAGCCATTTAGGTGCTATGTCACTAAGAAGCTCTGCATATCTCCAACCCCGCCCCAGGCCTCCCCAAACAAAGGTGTGTATTTAAGTGAGCAGGTAGAGACATAAAGGCTACTTTAAGGCCTCAATTCCACAAAAAATCTGTGGCTAGCAAGCACAACAAATGCTACTTTTATTTTGCCTATTTTAAATAGCTAAGGGTACAAGACAGAAGTTGAGAATTGCCTTACACCTACACCACCTATCAGGATTCTTAGCAAATATCCAAATTCTGACGGCCAGGCTCCTCTTCCTCTCCCTTTTCCTTTATCCTTCCTCCTTTTTGCTTATCCGCTCACTCTCACATGGGTGACCTCAATAACCATACTGAGAATCAGAAGCAACCCGGAATCTGCCCACCAACTTGAATCTACACCAAAATCTGAGTTTTCTCTCCTGTAACAATGAATACAAGGGTTTCTGTTCTTTCAGCTGGGCACTACAAACCGTGTCCTCTCCTCTATTCAAGAACTTTATCTCTCTCTGGAATCAAACTGCTCCCTCTCTAGTGTAACATTTTCTCCATCATATAAACATAAGATGATTTATTAAGAGTAAATAAATAACATTTTGGTCTCTTTCCAAACCCTCTTTCTAACACTTCATGAAATTTTTGAGTATGTGGTCTGTGGTCTTTGTTACATGATGCTGCATAGCACAGTGAACACGAGACACCCACATGTTGTATCACACCGTATCCCTCACTCAATCAAATACCGTGTATTACCAGTGTTACATTACTTCTTGTTTCTTCTTCTAGAACAGTGCTATTCAAAACAGCTGTGATAAGAAACATATTCTTTTCGTGATGTCCAAAATGAAAGCCACTAGGCACAAGTGGCTCTTGAGCACTTGAAGTGGACAGTGCAACAGAGAAACTAAATTTTTAAATTTAACTTGAATTAAATTTAAGCGGCCATGGGCAGCTAGTGGCTACTGATTAGACAAGCAATCCTAAATCTGGATTCCAAAAATCAAGCCCAGTTTTTATTTTCTCACTTCCATTTAGTTTTTGTAAAGTAGCTGATAGGAAAAAAAACTGTAAAGAATGGATGCATGTAAAATGTTCTAATACATAAAACCTATTTCTATTATAACAAGAGCTGCCATTTACATTTACCCTGGCTATGTGCCAACGTCTGAGATAAGAATTTTATTAATAGTGCTCTTATTATCTCATTCAATCCTCCTAACAGCACTATTAAGACACTATTGCTAAACACACTTTACACATAAGGAAATGAGGGCTCACAATGTTTAACGCGTCCCACAGCACATCCCCTCACGTCTGCTATTACACTGATCCCTTCACTCAGCCCTCTGCCTCTCATCTTCCCCACAATCCAGTGTATCATCCTACACAGCGATATTAGAGTGCTCTTTCAAATAAATACGATTTCTGATCATTCTCCCCCATCCCTCCCAGGCAGACTTTAATACACTCTTATTTTCTTTTAGCCTGCCATTTGGTAAGGTACAGAGCCCAGAATTCTATCTGCTCTCATCCCTTCATAGCTGCCCTTTAGGGAGATCCTTTAAGATAGTTTAAAAATTGCTGACCTACTGAACAAATTCTAGGTCATTATCAGGGCCCCAGCCCTCCGGTTCTACCTCTCAGGACTCCCTTCCCTCCTCCACCGGCATTACTGCTACAGCTGCCTGCCCTGACTGCAGTGCCCGCCACTCCTTTGTCAAACTCCTACTCCAGTTCACAAACCAGCCATGGGTTCCTCATTCATTAACAAACAGTGCTACCAAATCCCAGGCCGCACTCAGGCTGCTGAAGAAATACTGGCACACAGCGCTATTTTAGAAAGTCACGTCTTTTAGGAATGGCATTTTGATCACAGCCACTCTTACTGTCACAACTCAAATCCTATTCCAATTTCCACCAACATTCTAATTTTTAAGTGTCATCACCTAAAGTGGCTATTTTAGTATTTTCACTTTTCAGAACAAAGTAAAACAAACTCCAACATACCCCTTCGTCAGACAAACAAGCAAGGCGATCTATGAGTTCAGGGTTAGCAGTTAGGCTCTTCACATATTCTTCACCTGAAAAATAAGTTTAATTGTTCTTGAAAAATTCAAGTGTTTATTTGTCTTTTCTTAGATATGGAAGAACATCGATAATCTTATTTGTGACGGTACATTTGTCCATTTTTTTTGGAAAGACAGACCGTATCTGTTGATGTGGTCATGCCTGGGCAGACAGTGGGACGAGCATATTGTTGAGCTTTTATTGTTAAGCCAATTCCAAATGGTGATGGGGAATCTGCCCACCAGGCACCACAAAACAGTGAGCTTAGAAATGCGGAGAAATTTACAAATGCAAAAATAGAGGCAATGTAGGACTGTGACAATATTACACAGTCAAGTGAATTTCTGACCATGAGCCTGATCATTTTTACGTGCATTTGCAAACATGACTTAAGAGTTGATACATTTAGACTTACAAGTGAAAGCTGGTATTCCCTCTTCTATGGCTTTCTCTTTGTTTCTCCTGTCATTTGTGATGAAGATAACTTGCAGCTGATTCTCTGCTGACATTTTCTTCAAATGTTCATTGTACCATTTTGCTGCTACTCTAATGGCTCTATCATTCCTATCATTAGAGTTTTCTCCCTGTTTTTGTTCTACATAAGTTTCTCTAAATGTAAAGAAAAGAAAATTTTTTTTAAAAAAGGAAATGAATATCAATAAAAACAAGCATATGTGAAAAGTTTTAAGACATAAATGTTTAATAATCACTAAATTAAAAGCCAATGATATATCTTTTTCTCTTGAATGTACACATATTTATATATCAGAGAGGAAATAAACAGGATCTGTTTCTAATTAAGTTTCTAAGTCAATTTGTTTGAAAAAAGAAAACCACGTTATTAATGAAACAGTAAAATAGCTAAAAAAATTTATTTCACCAAAAAAAAAATGAAGGCCAGGATTTATACTCAGGTTGGAAGAGGAAATAAGCAATGATTTGCTGGAAAAAAACTGTAACTAAACTTTGTAGGTCTGATGAGATTTCATTTAAACTGTAAATTAATAGTAATTCCTAAAAGTTATAAACAGTACAATTCATGATCACATGAAAATTCAAGTGTTTTTTTATTTGTCTTTTCAATTAAATTGAATGATGTGCAATTAAATTCATAATGCATGTAAGTTATCCATGGTAAACACACAACAAATGCCAGAGGCCACCTAGAGACTGAAGACCAGATACAGATATGACTACACTCCTTTCTCTCTACTCAGAACTCCCAAATATGTTGGCATACTTATTTATTTAAGTCTGGTTTTCAAGCCAAATTTAAGCATAATAAAAAAACTTAGTACAATAACTTCTGGTACTAAAGATAATAAATTCAACCCTGGTTGGTATGGCTCAGTGGACTGAGCATCAGTCAGCCTCCAAACCGAAAGGTATCCAGTTTAACCCCTGCAGGACACAGGCTGCAGGCCAGGTCTTTATTTGGGGGTCTGCGAGAGGCAACCAATCAATGTTTCTCACATCAATGCTGCTCTCCCTTCCTCCCTGTGCTTTCCCTCTCTCTAAAAATAAATGAAGTCTTTTTTTTCAATTTTATTTATTTATTTTTTTTAAGAAAGAGGGGAAGGGAAGGAGAAAGAGAGGGAGAGAAACGTCAATGCATGGTTGCCTCTCATGTGTCCCCCACTGGGGACCCGGCCTGCAACCCAGGCATGTGCCCTGACTGGGAATCGAACCAGTGACTCTTTGCTTCACAGGCCCACGCTCAATCCACTGAGCCACACCAGTCAGGGCATGAAGTCTTATTTTTAAAAAAAGATAAGAAATTCAATTTAAAATTTTTAGACTTAACTTATAATAGTTTTAGAAATATTTTAGGCATACCAATCACAAGATGCTGCCATAAATTTTTGAATTGGTTTTAGTGTGACTTCAGCAACAGCATCTTATAAGATTTTCCCAAGTGTCCTAAGGAAAAGTTTCCTGTCAACCCCAGGATGGCTAAACTCGACTCATGTACTTAAGCTAACAGTAACCTCTGATTAGGGATCTTATGATCAGGCTCCACAAAAACTTGATCTTTCTGCACTGAAAAACAAATGAGATCGCTCCTTCTAGAATTCAAGGATGAGCTAGGATTAAGAAGGCTGCAAGTGCTTTGCTGGTGTTCTTTACATGACCAATTTATTTTTTTAAAGTTTGGGATACAAGGATAAAGATGAGAAAGTTGAGAAATTAAGTTTTTTTAATTTGCAGATTACAATGGGATTTCTTTACCACATCTACCACTAATGCAGTGGTTCTCAATGGGGGCAATTTTGCTCCCTGGGAATATTTGACATGTCTGAAAACATTCTGGGTTATGACTCTGTGGACAGAGGGTAAACAGGTTGCTACTGGCATGTAGTGGGTAGAAGCCAGGGATGTTGTTAAACATCAGCCCATCCACTAGATAAAGAATTATCCAGTCTAATATATCGGCAGAACCAAGGTTGAGAAGCCCTCATCTAACTAATAAAAGTATACTAAGATGCATCATCAATTTATGAAACATAAGAAATCCTATTATCTATTTCTAAGACCACACATTATGTTGAAACACAAGTCTTGAATTTGAAATATAACAAAGAATTCTATACTTTAACCTTATTTTCTTCAATGTGATCAGTTACAAAGGACTGGGGTAACTTTTAAAAGCCCATTAAGAATAAGTCTGGTTTATTATTCAAAACCTCCTTCACAAACTTTTACATTTTATTAACCTATGTTAATAGGCTGGCTATTCATATAATATGGTTGGTTTTCCAAGAACCCAGTTAATCTTACCTACCATGTTTCTATTGCTCGGCACATACTAAAATCAATTTGAAATGAAAACATTTTGGAAATAAAAGTACCTACTATAGCCTAGGAGTCAGGAGACCTTGCTTTGAGGTTTGATCCAATCAATATCTATGTAACCTGAATGAGGTCTACTTAGCATTATGTTCTACACAACTGTATGAGAACCAAGTAAAACTCCTGTAAGGATGAAACCTATCAGATAGATATCTTCTGACATCACAAATCACTGACAGGAGACTCCCTGAATTTAGAAAATTCTGTGTTGTTGTTTTGACAATTAACATAATTTCCCTCCTACCTATGGTGCTCATTGGTGAAAGTATAGAAATGCTTCTCCTGGTTACTAGTCACATCTCGGATTCGTTTATACACCGGGGCACTCCGATTCCTCACTTCTTGCATAACTGTTTGTAGGACGATTACATTCCTGATGGCAGGGTCCTCAAGAACATCAATCTTAAAAAACAAAAGACAAGAAGAATTAATTTTTCTACATTCATTTGCAAATTGTTTCTGTCGAACATAAAACCATATCAGTTTAAAACACATTGAACATGCATTAAGATAAGGAGATATTTCGCTATAGAAAATCCTTCAGGTTTTAGTAGAGAAAAACTTTAGTTTTAGACTATCTCTAAAACTTCGCAGAATTAAGTCCATTAATAAAGAAATAGGTTGGCCCACATCCCATATCGTTTTTATTTAATAAGCACTTAAAAAGCTGCCTGGGGGTCGCAGACTGGAGACCACAGTAGCTCAGGTCCCGGCCTCCAGACTTACAATCTAAGGCGGAAAAGACACCGGGAGTTAGAAAATCCACGTACCTACACTTATAATGCTTCCAAGAACTCAAAAATACTACGTTCAAAGAAAAGAACCTCGGCCTGGGCTACAGGAGTCGTGGGTCCCTCCTGTACCTAAGGGTTTGCCTCTCCCTAAGTGCAGGATGCTGCCCCAGACGCGCCTCTCTGGGCCTTAGTTTCCCTAGCTGTCACACCCCTTCTCCAGGCGGAGCCCGCCTGCGGACTTACCTGGTGCAGCAGCACGTTGGTGTCAGGTAGCAAATAGTGCGGCTGCGGGCAGAGGCTGCTGGGTGGATCTACGGGCTGCGGCTCCAGGACCGGACCCTCGTGAGCGCCGCTGCAGGCCGCACACCCCGGCGCACCGCAGCCGATGTCGTCCCGTAAGTAGTGCTCGCGCACGATTTTCATCACGCCCCCCGCCCGTGTCTTTTTTAAGAAAGTCTTGGACTTCAGCATCTTGCTTCGCAGCGCAGAATCCCGACTGTGACAGCTCTGAACCGAAAAAATATATCAAGCTAGGAGTCCAGTTGCACAACTATCCTTTACAGGGAGGTTCGCCTCTTCCCGCTCCAGACCTCAGCAAACACCTCTCGCGGGAAAACGTGGAGACTGACACTGGTTGGCTCGCTGATGGCTGCGAGAATTGGACGAAAGCAAGGAGCGAGGGAGGGTGGGCGGACCCCGGAGCCGCTGGACCTCAGCTCCCAACATGCATCGCTTCCCGCGCCGGGGCGGGACGGGGCTAAGTTCCGGTGCCGGGACCTCTGCTCGCTGCCGCTTCCTTAGACCTCCTCGGGATACGGCAGTGGTTGTCCTGGTTACGGGTCCAAACGGTACCCGGCTTGAGATGTGTTGTTGAGGTGCTGCAAGCTGAGCTGCAGCCTGAAGACGCCTTCGGCTCCTTGGAATAGCGGCAGTGGCGGCCAATCCAGCCCGCGACGTGGAGTAATTGAAGCTATCGGCGTTGCTCTATCCCTTCCTTTCACGCTCGGGGCGAGGACTCCTCCGATGCTGCCAAGTTTGCGTTTTATTCCTCACCCGCAAGTGTGGCCAGTCTGTGTCCCAGATCCTTTGTAGTCCAGGTGATGTTCCCTGTCTTTGATTTCACCTATTCTTATTCTTTGCCCTTTAACAAGGGGGGAAGCCGATCCGGCTAAAGTTCTTACCATTTACCCTCAACATACATCGTGCCATTTAGAAAAACTGGTATCAGCAATACCGTAAATAATTCATTATACTGTGTAGTATTAAAACAGAGAAGTTGCAGAAATTCTTTTAAAGGGGTAAAAAGCTAGATTTAGGATTTCTGAGTTTTTCTCTTCTACCCTCTTGTTTTCATTCTGCAATCTGTAAGTTTATTAAAAAGTGCCACTGGTTCCCCTTTTAAAAAATCTTTAATGATGCCTCATTGCCTGCAGAATAAATTTTGAACACATTGCCTGCAGAATAAAGTTCGAACACATTTGATACTCAAGGCCCTTCACACCCTTGATTATTACGGTGTGTGTCTGTGTTTGGGGAGGGTGAGGGAGTCACTACTCTCATGCACAAAGACTTGGCCCCAGCCTGACAACCACTATCTTCCACTGTCGTTTTACACTTTAACCACCTCACTGTAATACCAGCATGCTCTTCCCTTTTTACTGTTGCTCCCCGTATCCAGCAAGATTCTAAGTTCTATCTCTGTATATACAATAAAAAGTGATTTCTCTAATGTTGAACACGGGTTCCTTTTGTTAGTGGCATTAGAGCTTTATCCTTTATCTAATCAATTTCTTTGTTTATGCCAAATAAGTTTCCTCCCTCTGAAAACTGGGTTTCGTATTCATCCAAGTGCTTTTGAGTTCATAATAGGATTTAATGAGTTTGACTTAATATATATTGTTTGCTCTGAGCAGTTATTTACTAATCTGCCCTAGATTTGGGGTCTTTAGATTGTCTAATAATTACTTAGGGAATCCTTAGTATCTCTTTAATATGCTTCCCACAGAGAATGTTTGCATTATTTAAATTAATGTTTTTTAACCTACAGAAAATTGAAATAGAATTGGAGAAGAAAACTGACCCATAATGTCTCAAAAAATCGCCAGGGCATCAAAAAAAATTAACGTCTCCAGCTCTCTGGAATCTGAAGATATTAGTTTAGAAACAACTGTTCCTACAGATGACATTTCCTCATCAGAAGAGCGAGATGGTAAAATCAAAATCACCAGGCAGCTAATTGAACGGAAAGAACTACTTCATAATATTCAGTTACTGAAAATAGAGCTATCCCAGAAAAATATGATGATCGACAATTTGAAAGTGGACTATCTTACAAAGGTAAGATCAGTGTAAATTTTGTTATGTAATTAGTTGATTTATTATTTTCAAGCTGCAGATAAATAGGAATTAGATATTTATATAATTTTAACTTGAGATCATTATATTTCCCTGCATAGCTTTTAAAAGCTGGTTTTAGATATGGGTATATGTGAATAATATTTCTGTGTATCAAAAGTATTGAAAGAAAGGGTGACTTAAAAAGTGGGCAAGGATGAATTGCTTCTGTAGGCTCAATTTTTTAAATCTAGCATGTATGCGGTCTATTTTTGTAGGTTTTTTCCCTAGCCAAGTTATCTGCTTCCTTGAGAACTAACCCTGATGTGATTAGTTTGGTAGGGAAGACTCAAGATCATAATTATTATTGAATCTTTATAGTTCTCTGTCTTGGAGATTTGCTTTCTTTGGTGTCTTTTTATTTGATATTTACTATATTTGTCTTTCAATTTGACAGTTACTGTGACATAGTACCAAGTATAATTCAAGTATCATACTTTTTAACAAGTGGTATTTACCAACTAAGAAGGGATATCCTGGTCTTTGTTTCTCTGTTTTGTGTGGTTATTTATAATTACACAGTATTGTATGTAAAACCTCGTAAAGTTGTCACTAGCTATAAGACATTTATAGTGATTTCAGAAAGACAGGAGACACTTCTTAACTGTACTTCTTCTGTCCTGAGAAAAATCTTTCCACCAGCTAACCCTCCACCTTTGCTCATTATCCCATCTCCTCCTATCCTCCCCTCCCGTTTGGTTGTTTCAGTTATACCTTCTCTCTTGCTAAGACAGTCTACAATTTTAGCCTTTGCCTATGTATACTAATGGACTTCAGAATTTTGCCCATTGCTTCTAGGAAAATAAAGCATCCTAAACCGCAAGTCTCGATGAAGTAAACAAATAGTTTAGGCAATTTTATTTCAATATTAATAGCTAACATTAATTGAGTGCTTATTCTGTACTAGTCACTTTTCATATGTTATGTTTGTGCCTTATAACTCTTTGAAATATAGGTGCTTTGGGCTGGGGGCTGTTATACATGAGCAATCATCTTAAATGAATCCATAGACTAAGTTGGAATAGTGCCTGATACTTAGTAAGCACAGATTAAATATTGGTTATTATTGCAGTTATCAACTAAAATAAGATCCTCATTTTTCACCACCCCCCTTTATGTTCTGTGTCCTATGTATATGTTCATAGGACTACTAACTCTGTTTGTTGCTTTGGGATTTGTTTCTTTTAATAGACTGTGATGTTCATGAGAACCAGGGACTTCTTTGTATTCACTGTATATTGCCACTTAGATCAGTTCCTGGCACATAAGTGCTCAGCTATTTCTTAAATGAGGGAATGAACCCCATTTTGCTCCTGATGAGACAGAGCACCAAATGGTTAACAGTATAATGAGGCCATTCAGATAGAAGTGATGGAGGCAGGCAGGATTCATATCAAGAAGTCTGAGTAAAGCCCATACTCCATCCGAGCGGATCTCCTAACACTTAGGTTCCCTACACAGTTACCTACCCACACTCAGTCACCTGGTGTTTTAGCAGTGTATCCAGTGGCTTCCTGTATCTCTTCCTTTACTCATAATGCTTTCACTCCTCACATGGACTTCTGTAATGCTGCTGCCTTATGTATCTTCACCTGTCGAGATCTCTATTTATGCTACTCATTGAAGAAGCCTGAGGTAAGTCTCCCATTCATTAATCCACCCACTCAGTCAAAAAATATTTTTTAAGTGTCATATCCAGACTTACGGGGTTTTGAAGGCCATTTGTAAAATTGTGTTCAGCTTGCATTGAGCTGGGTTATGAATGGCTTCTTTTAAAAAAAATCATAGCCTTTGTATTATAGAAATGAGAGGCTCTCTAGTGTATCAGGTCAGAGCTACAATTCTAGATACACACGATTTAGGTTTGAATTTCAGCCCTACTCATTACTCTGGGAAATTTTCTTAACTTTTTTTGTTCCTAATTTCCTGGGAAATAGGAATAATAATAGTATTTACTAAATAGAGTTGGTGGGGAGAATTAAATTAATCAATACACATAAGTTCTTAGATGCTTGCTGTCTAACAAAATAATGGTAGTGGCTACATTTATTCAGCACTATATTACTTTTATACCCATGGTGCTTACTTAGTTCAGTTATTTTATTGTGGTCTTTTACTTGGACTGCAAATGTAGAAGACAGTCATATTCCTGAGTTTATTACGCATACATCATTGATCCATGAAGGTCACTTTTTACTTTGTATATTTATTCCTTTTATTCCCATAGGTCATTTCCAGTCCTCCTCTTTATGCAGCTATTTTAAATTTAATTATTTTTTAAACATTTACTTTTGAAAATGGGTATTGTATTTTTCCTTTGCATAAATGGAAATTGCATGTTTTGTTTTAGATTTTGTCTCTCTCATAATCGTTTTCTGTTCAGCCCTGTGTTTAAATCAGTTATATTACTTCATGTGTATCTAGTCATCTGTTCCAACGTCCACATAATTCTGTCCACCAACTTATCCATCAACTCCCACAATGATAGGCCTGCAGGCTACCGCTGACTCCTTGCCACCACATGCAGTGTTGGCCCTCTGTAGACATTTCTCTTCTGTGTGAACATTTCTTAGACATATATAATCAGGAGTAAAGTTTCTGGCTGATAAGGTATATGTATATTTAGTTTAACTTAGTGTTCTGCCAAACTGCTCTCCAGACTAAACTGCCTTACTCTACATTCTCTTGGGGGAGGGGGTTGTTGTTGTTTTGTCTATTGTTATTCCAATTATTCTGAGAACCCTTGGAGGTAAGGTGTTTGCTCTCACATGTATGAAGAAATATCATATGGTAGAAGAATTAGTCTTGCTTTAATTCATTTAATCTAAGGCACTTTCATGGTAAATGGGTCATTGCATGTATCACTGAGTTTAAAAACTGCCAAGTTAAACTGTTACGTGTTTTAGATCATAAGATGCATTTCACTTTCAGAGATGTAAAATTTGAGAAAGTGTAAGTTTGAGATCGATGGAAGAGGCATTTTTAGCCACTTAATTTATTCTCTAAAGCTTACCAGCGCAGAGCCTTGGGAATACAAAGATGAAAATCTCACATTCTAGCATCCTTGAAACTAAATTTCCCTCACTAGACTATAGCTTCAGGAAAGCAACAGGAAAGGTAGATTCTGCTGAATATGAACCTGTTCTTCCTCTTCACATTATAAATGACCTGCTTTTAAGATACTGAGCTTCTTGTCATTGCTAGCATTCCACTTGTCCTGAATGGTCA